GTCTAAATCCCAGTTAAAACCACTCCGATTCTAGGACTGTTTTAGTCACTACAGAAACTTTTACTCTCAGTGTAGTGTCTGAATAATGGCACTGCCACAAATACACACTTCCAAGAAACCTCGTTATGCACCCTACAACCATGCTTGAAGTCATTCTGTTGGTAATTGCATGCATGGTGAAATCAGAAACAGTGTCTGAGCAAGTTAATCTTTAGGCGTTCGCCTGCTTATCTTTAGTAAAAATATTACTTAGGCTTTCAGTTATCACTTGATAGCTAGGAAGCTTTACGCTTTGCTTTTAAAAGAGACCACTCCCTCGATAGCGCTTTTCTTACGAAAAACAGATTGCCACAGCTTCTCAAGTTACGCTTCTCTAACCGCAAAGATATTTATGTCTCACTCAGAGACAGCTGTGTGGTGTAGTCTCAATTCCATGTCGTGGTTCTCTATGTGCACCATAACTTTCTTTTAGCTACAAGTGGACTGTATGTACCACCCTACAGTTTCTTACATCTCCTTGAGGCTTAATGCTACAGTCGGAGAGAATTAATCCACATCCTTATTCACTGCGAATTGCAAACATTCCAGCTGCTCATCCACCTTAATGAATGATAGCATCTGGAACTGGGCACCGCCACTACAGCTTCTGTCATTCGGTGGAAAAGCAGCATCGAATAAGGCTGCCGTCCTTATTTAACTATCCCATTAACAACTAGGTGAATTTGCACTTCTCTAACTGCCTCTAGTTATTGACGATCCTATTGGGACATTATCTATAGGCGGATATCTGCTAATGAAACAGTTTGTCCCAGATAACCCGCCGCTAAACTTAACGTGTGTCACCCTGCATAATGGTTTCATGGGGACCGGTGATCATAATAGGGTTCACCAAATAGCCTTAGAAAAGATACTGTGTTTCTCACCAATCCCAATTATTGATCTATTAAAATCACCAGCAATGTGGTCAGATCCATTTGGTTGAATTTGCTCGAGTTGCTTCAGTCAGTTGTAACTTGTGGTTTGCAATGTATGACTGAGACCTATACACTCCACCTTATCAAAGGCCTACTGCTGTTTGCAGTCATAAAATACCTGAGTGTCTCAGGAAGTCTACTCACTGCGATATCATTGGCTAGAGCTGATTGGAGTTTACTGACTATGTCAACGTAGGGATTGATATCAACACAAGTGAATATAATCACAAGCGATTCCAAGGGAATAGCCAAGCACTCTAAAAGTCCCCGGATGTCTTGAAGATATTGTATTTTCCTAATTTTTTCAAAGTCCTAAATTACTACCTTTATTGCAGTCCCGCGATGGTTCCCCCTCAAGATGGATCGATCTTATAGTCTGTTAACTATTTCAATTTATCGGTGAAATTAGCGTATAATTTGGTACATATGTATGCAGAAATATTGTCAGACATTTTTGATTATAGGTTTTCAGACCGTTTTGATGTTCATTAAAAGCGGCAAATGTTCTTCACTAAACCGCCTATCTCCCTTTGTCTCCACCGAACTGTCACTGGTGTCAGTTCATGGTGTTTGTCGCTGAGTATAGTGCTTACAGTAGTGGGATCACAAATTCAGTAGAGGGAAAGATTAATTAGCGCAAGAGACTCTTAAGATATCAGGTTGTTTTGACCATCGTCTCAAAGTATGTTAATCGTGGATAAATCCCGAAGCTCAACTCAGTGAAATTGAAGTTGAAGGCGTTCAGAGAGATAATATGAATTATTTTATTTTTTTTAATTTTTTATTTTTGATTTACAGCTTGATTCCACACTGTATTCTCGGAACAAGTATGGAATTTTCAGCATGGATATCGGTAACCCAAATTTTGCAGGCCGACCATAGATATCAGGTGTGCATTTGAACCATCCGGTAAGGCAGATATGGTAAAACTAGAAACAAACTTCCTCACCTTTCGATTCTTTTCCGGTTTCTCATGTATGGCAACATCCCATCTGCAGCCATTTCATTGAGTTGAATTTTGAATAATGACAACGTCAATTTCAGAATAGTTGCTGGGAATTTGGGAAGCTGGCACAAGGAATTTTAAGCGGATTATATTACTTATGTGACCCCGAATGTTACTGTGGATACATGTTGATATTTCTTGCCCACGCAGTCAATTTTTGAGATGACCATGGCCAATTAACCTCTTGACATTGTTCTCCCTTCTCCCCATCACTGCGACAGCAGATAGTAAAATGCAACCCAAACCTCTTCATCAAAGACTATTGTTTCTCTTCGTTTGGTTAGCTTACCACAGCATGTTGGCTTATCTAGTACACTTGATACATTTTAATAGGTAAGGCGATAAGCTCAGGTGTGATCCACGTCCTACTGATAGCTAAACAGCTGCTTTTATCTTAGTATACCTCCACTGCATACTCACCATTTTGGAGGACAAGGCATCATAATAATGACTAAATTTCAGCTGTACGCTTGGAAAAGATATTCCATTATCCTGAGAATTGCTCATTATAATTTACTAACGCTGCAATAAGTGATCAGAAAGAGGTGGTAGCCAGTCTCCTTTTCGCCAAGACAGCTGCAAACAACGTATGCGAGGCAGAGTACATTCGGCAGACAACTTATTGCTATGTGCTGCGCCATACATCACTGCCAGTGTTTGGTATGTTATTAATTCACAACTTTCACAAAATACGAACGAGTCATGTGCAATCTAAGCTCAGCACCAGACAGGTATATGCCAACTAGATTACGTTTCGCAGTTTGCTTCGGGTAGTCGCTTTGTATCCGGGGCCAGCGATACAATCTAAAATGTTATGTTCCACACATACTCCTTCGTTCAAATTAATGAAATAAAACTTGTAAACCGGCTGGTATTAAAAAAAACAGATCAGGCTTCAACGAGTGGGGACAAAGGTTATCTTGATGTGTTTTCGTGCACAGCATAATTTGTTTTTGCGCCAAAAGGAAAAATTTGAAGGTCAATTTTGATGGAAATAGGGAGCAAATAATCAATTTCAGGCTTCTGGAGCGATGCCAACCAATGTATGCTTATATTTTGGCCGTAGTTTTGCTCAAAACTGTTTTCCTATATCAGAGAGATTATTACCAGGAGAGGCATGCATTTGGGTAAGATATGAGTAGAATACTGTCTGGAAGTTTTAAAAGTTTCGTAATTTGGGGGATTTTTAATTTTAAACTCTAGTGGCACCGTCTTTCAGTCATCAATAAGTGGGGTCTACAAGTAGATCGCGATAGCTTAGTAGATCTGTTCCTACGACAGGTATTGCGCCGTCAGCTAGAGGGGGAATCTGCCGAACCGGTCTGCATAAACACACGTTCAAATAAACATGTCTTCACCGGAATGTTGCTATGGATCTTCCATTTCATCAAGGAGGCTGGAGACAAGTTCCTTCTGGTAGTGTTCATGAATGATAGGGAGGGTGCTGACTTCTGCGCCAGCGTGAAACAAGCAGCAATTTCCACTAACAAAATGCTAATTGGTTAAATGCGTTTGTTTTGGTGTCATGTCACAAATCGTTGCTCAAGATACGCTGTTTATAAGCTCAATTTTCTATCATATAACTTTCAAAGTACTTGATATACTGAGACGAGAGGCTAAACAATGCACCAGACTGATCGTTCAAAGTACGTTCAAAGTGTAAATAAAGGACCACGATTATAGCTTAACTGGCTAGGGATTATACAGGAACGTTCGGGAACAGTGTGTCGAATACCAAGAGTGCTAGACCTCGTATCTGTAGCCTAAAACGTCGATTGAAACAGTGAGGGTTAGTATCCAATGTTGAGTTAAGAATATTGTAAAATAATGATTTGGGTGAAATTTTTCATCTCCATGCCAGTCACCCGTATGAAATGCACCCAGCTTTTAGCCTGGTCCATCGTAGGCAGTGGTGATGCGCTCTTTATCGATTAGTGGTAGCAGAGGATTCGTTAGCTGTTTCAACTGACAACTGAACAGTTTTTTACAGCAATACTCTGTGCAGCCTAAGACTTTTGCTCCACAAACATACCTGAATATGGTTCTTGGGTAACTAACAAAATCCGTCCAGATTTCAGACTGCTGGTTTTCTAAGTGTAATGAAAACCTATTCAGTCTACCAGTTGAGTTGTTTCAGGACCCCTTGGATAGAAAAGTGCTTTTAGAGGTGTAAAGCGAACTTTCCTAATTCATACTCCCTAAGAGGAACAGTTAAGGGACCTTTCAATCTCTACTGCCAGCAATGTAGAAGGCGACAGAAAGATCCGTGGATGATTAGAGCTATACATGAAATCCCGCATGAAACTATAAGGCTTAAAGAATTATCGGTCGTATATTTTGATAGAGTGAAATAGCTGGTCAGCATTTTTAGAGTGAAGTATGGAGGTCCATACGGCGTTTCTAGACCTGTCTGGAGCGTTAACCATGTGTCGTACTTAATTTGCCTCTAGAACGCTTGAGAAACCCGAATTTGTAAGTCTATTGGTGCTAATGAAATAGGACCTATTTGTTAGATTTTGTACACAAAGTCAAATCAGATACATTTTGTCTGCAAATCGTCAGGCCCTTGGTCTCCTATTATTCATCATATTGACTTATTCGTCCCGGCAAGTAATTTTAACTTCTTAGAACTCCTCAACACTAATGAGGTAAAATTATAGACAGCCACGGAAACTGAGGAAGACCTGCCTAAGTTGTAGGAAGACTTGAGGGGTGTGCTGAGTTGAGGCAGAGCAAACAATAATTAGTGTTGCACGATGTTCATCCACATGCCAGAAGAACAAAGAATCTCATGCTCCCTGTGTTAAATTAATTTATCCCTTGCAGAGTCGTAGTGCTGTCTCTAGTTACCTATAATGGGTGTATTAGAAGCAAAAGGAAAACGAAAAATAAACCGTAATGAGGTCTTGTTGGCCCTCTTTCACAATAATTTATTTCTCATCTGGCAAGAGAATCAATAATCATCACATCAGCACAACAGTATCCTCTGAAAACATAAATTACACTTCAAATTTCTCCGTGTGCTTTATACGGGCTATATATAGGGAATCGTGGAAAGGATTTCACAGAGAATCATCCAGGCTTGTGTAATGTCTTGCATTCTCAAGAACCAAACACAAAGAAATTTATTTGATTCATTGAAGCTTACAAAGTAGATATTGGATATTAGTTATGTTGTAGCATATTTGTTTCCTCAAGGTCGCTGTATATGCTTATAGCTTTGAGGAGACCTGCAGTACTCCATATTCATCCCAGTATGTCTCGTTGCTGTAAAAGTAAGACGCTATTTCACTTCTAAAGCTTCTTCAGCTGGAAGACCACCCGGTTTAAAAGGAAAGGAGATTGGCCTCTGGCATGCTGCACAATCAAAGAGTCGACGTGAACGTCAACCTAATGTACGTCTCTCTAAGTCGCGTTAATTTTAGGAATATCTTTTGTTAAGTATTTGTAATATTTTCTATCATTTGGTGTTACAGTGATTCTTATAGTAACTGACGGTAAGAAACAAATGAAAACCTTTTAAGAATTATGGATGTCATATGACATCCATTAAGTAGTGTTTGACACAAGTAAGGCTGTTTTGGTTAAGAATTAGACAGTAACATGCATAGTTGTTCCAATATGTAGACGTAAAGGAACATGTGGTTTCTCAGGCTTTAAGTAGTTCTAGAAAAGCTAAAACGCTTCGTTCTTAAAAGGTATTCAGAATTTGGTTTCATAAAAACATTGTCCCATAAAACCTTTAGTAGCAAGTCCGTCAGTCATCATGTCTAGACGGAAATTTGTGCCTCCAAACGATGGCTACTCTGTATTACAGCTTGCTTTGAATGTAATTAGTCTCACCTACTTCAATAAAGCGGACCACTAGTGGTAGACTGATATAAAATGTGAACAAATGAGAGCCCATGTTGCTTCTCATGCAGTCATCATAGAAACTTTGTCTCCAAGTGACTGAGAGACGGTCTTTGTCGGCTCAAGGACCTAATAAAACCAAACAGGCCGGTGGAGAAAGAGGTTAATCACTGAGTCATTGTTCGTCGAATGCAACTTTCAACCGAAACGAAGCAACGCCTATAGGCGTATATATACTGGATATATTAAACATTACAATGAGTAACAATGGAAACAAGAAATATAAAGCAAGTTCTGAAGCTGTGTGAATACGTTATTATAAATAATAAATTTTAACCTAAGCATCACCCACTTATACTCTATCCCTATATGTTATGCTAAAGGAACGTATCTAATATGATGTGGGTAGATGTAATACACTGAGTCACTGGACTGATTCCCAAAGTGAAGCGTACAGACATTTGTTTAAACTATTTATTCATATATACTTGTGAGTTTTTCAAAACTGATTCAAAGGAGTCACATGTTTTTAGTAACTATCTAGTATGGCTTTGCACTTGTTTGAGCTTTTAGATCGAGGAGTCAACTGATCATATACACTTTTTAACTTCAAAATGTCCTGGTTATGTCCACATGACTTCAGATATTTGAATGTACCTGTGTTTTTTTGCATTGAGTATTATTAGAAGTTCAGGTCGCACATGTCCGAGCTCTGAATCACTTTTCTACCAGCTAAGCTGTGAGACTTTTACCCAAGCATCTCATTGTAACCGCAGTGGTGTCGGGTGGCTTTTTCCAGTACACTACTTTTCAGACTTTGGTACGGCTCTAGATCACTATAGGGATAAACTCTCAATACGAATTTTTGTACGTTAAAGGAGAGTTAATGTGTATCTGGTCTCCACATAAAGTGTTCTTAACGTGTGATACATCCACAATGTGATTGGTTTTGGCTAGATAAAATGAAATGTCTTGCACTTGTGTTACTTCTAGGAGACTAAAGTGTTGCTGTCATAAAATTAAGTATCTACAGAACACATATTTACATGGAAGTGTAATAGCCATGAAAAAATAATGACTACTCGTTTAGACTGCAGCGCATTTTTGTTTTTGCGATCTAGAAGACGACGGGACTCCCTAGTTATAAGTGAATAATACCTGAACAGAACTGTAGGAGACGGTCACCGTTGTCGGTTCGCTGGCACGGAACTCCATAGGTGCCACCGATAACCTTCTCAGATTGACACAATTTCCCTACTTGAGCATTAAAGTCACCAGCTAGAACGACTATATCTGAGCGTTTAGCCTTTCGCACCAAACTAGACAGCTTTTGGTAGAACTCATCCTTCGTTTCATCCGAACTGCAGTCAGTGGGGGCGTAGGCGGAGATTACGAAAAGGCATCGGCGAGTAGTGCAGTCCTTTCTCCTTCTTACTGATCCGTTCAGGCGGACAGCACACATTTGGCTATCTACCGGGATCCAGTCAAGCAATGTCTTTTCTGCCCTAGTACTCAGAGCTATCCCTACACTAGCTAATCCTCGTGAACTAGCTGTGGCATCTCCTGACACCCTCAAGGTGAATTTTGCAGATTCAACCTGTTGGCCAGGTGGGGTTAGGTGAATAACCACACTTGGGTCTTGTATGCGTGTTTCTGAAACACAGCATACATCAATGGCTCGAGATGCCAGGGTCTTAGCTAGTGATGCTTGTTGTCCTATTTGGCAAAGTGTCCTAACATTAAATGCTCCTATATAAAATTGGTGGCGTGGCTTTAGGAGACTATCCGTGGTGGTTTTTTGGCTTTCGTCGTTTTTAGTGGACACAGAGTGAAGAGGGAGTGAGGAGCCATCAAGTAGAGGAGTTGCATCAGTGGAAGGAAGGCAAGGTAATAGAGATGAAGATGAAGACAAAGATAAGTGAGGATTAGAGAGGTTTTGTGTGCATTATGGGCTTATGGGGAATTGTCATCTGAATTGGTAACAACCAGTGGTGTCCGACAGGGATGTCCACTTTCCCCATTTCTGTTTAACTTCATCATAGAAATGCTAATGGAAGTATCCTTAACTGAACGTAGTGACTTAGGAATCGACTTGTTACCAGGGAATAATCTAATGGACTTAGAATATGCAGATGACATAGTCCTGTTAGGGGAGGATGCTGACAAAATGCAGAGTCTTCTGAACACCTTGAGCAGCAATCTTCGTATGTTTGGCATGCGATTCGCCCCTGCAAAATGTAAGATGCTGCTACAGGACTGGACCACGTCAATCCCTAACTTAGTGATAGGGAGTGAAGTGATAGAACATGTTGACCACTTCACCTACTTGGGAAGTTGTATTAGCACCAACGGACTGATTGGCGATGAAATCTCAGCACGGATCCGAAAAGCTCGAGCTGCTTTCGCTGACTAACACCATCTCTGGCTAGGCGTGACATCCGGTTATCAACCAAGGGACGTGTGTACTGCTCATCAGTTCGCTCCGTCCTTCTCTATGGCTCTGAAACATGGCCAATACGCGTTGAAGACATGAAAAGGTTGACTGCTTTCGATCATAGATGTCTGCGATCTCTGTCTCACGTTAGGTGGTTTCACAAGATAAGTAATGTTGACGTTAGGCGTAGAGTGTTGGGCAAAGAGGGAAAATCAATCGACGAGGCTATAAAGTTACATAGACTAAGATGGCTAGGTCAGGTGGTGCGCATGCCTAACCACCGCCTCCCCCGACGGGCTTTGCTAGCTGATATAGGTTCAGGTTGGAAAAGAGCCAGTGGTGGCCAAACAAAAACATGGCATCAATCCATGAAATCCTTGACAGTTAAACTGAGTCAGGTAGGGAGATGCAGACTTCCGGGTTGGGGCCCTCGGGACTCTAGGAATCAATGGCTGGAGACAGTAGGTGACATGGCTCAAAATCGTTGTCAATGGCGCAGATGTATTCAGTCTCTGTAATCTTTCATATTCCTTTCTACAATTACCCACTCTGTTTCACTCTTATATTTGTCAAACTCTATTGATTCTCTTCACTCATCTTCTTGTCTACCTTGTGTGCCAATTGGAACGTGGCAACTCGAACTGCTGCACTTCGGTGTCAAGTTCTATGTTGAATCCAGACAGAATAATACCTAAATTATGAATTACAGGAACTCTTATATTTAGTATATTTCTGTGTAAGTCAGCCAACTGCTGCTATTTTGGGATATTTTTAGTGTTCGTTGCTGGGAGTATCGTAACATGAAGCAAAATGCTGACTTACTTCTGTATGCTTTTGCTCACTCAGAGAGACGCCAACGGCTTGCTTCCATTTAGACTTAGTAAATGTTCAATATCGGTTGTGTTTTACTATGAATCCACTTCCTAATTAACAGATCACTATTAGTAGGAAAGGCGACTTCGTTAGACACGTTATTTGATTGTTAACCTAAGAACTTATAGTATTCGGATTTGGAAAAGACTTACCAATTAAAGTGTGCCATAGTAAAATAGGTTTTGCCGAACCGTTACTGAATATCGTGTCATATCTCAGTGCTTTTGCACACAAATCACGTTCTTCAAATCAGTCTATTTTTCGCTGTAGAGGATGTTGACATTTCAGAAACTTTTTAACGAGAATAATTTAAGACAGATGCATACGTATGTATAAATAAACAATTAAAATGATATAATTCTGGTTAACAGCCTACTACGCTTATACGTAGATGTACAGGAGTCCCTTGCTGTGACCGAAAAATAATGATACTGTTATACATATGTGGTGTGACTAAGCACCACCAAAGGTTCTTGTTTACCAAGTGATACAACGAAAAACCGGAGTGTAAGAGGCTATAGTAATTTCAACACCAAACAGTCGTGTTCAAATATGTATGCTTACTTATTTTAATTCCATATTAGATAAGTGTATTTTAAATGTCACACCGATGAAGTATTAGCAATTACACATAGGTCAAATTATTAGATCGGGGTCAAGTAGATTATTGGAGCACAAATTTAGTTAAACGTGGAATAATTAACCTTGATAAGTTAAATAACTTAGTAAAAAGGTCAGTCATTGTACTATATTCACTTGCATGTCATCACAAAATAGGATGGTACAGGGTGAAAGTATTAAAAAGTAATATAGTTAGGTGGAGAGAGAGGTTAATCACTGAGGCTTTGTTTATCAATTCAAAACCGGAAATGTGCAATCGGAATGACACACTGCCTATACCGGAGATATGAAAGGTGGCAACAAACAACAAAGGGAAGTTGGAAAGACAGAAAGAGAAAATATACATTAGACAAATTGTGCAATCGTGTGACTTAACTAATATGATTATGAGCAATAGTTTATGCTCAAAACGTCATCCAGTTGTTAAGACTGCATTGCTGTGTGACATTTAAAATACACTTGTCTAATACGAAATTACATTCTACCACAGTGCCATATTTCTACACATAAGTTAGTCTTACGTATCTTAGTTGGCTGTTTCATTAACTGAGTCACGCTCAAAATTACCACGGTAACATTCGATAGTTTCACTTATATAATGAGCATATAAAATGTTGATTGGAAGGAGAATTATCCTTACGTTAATGCATATACAAGAGGTTTTGTATTGCCGAAGTTTTAAATGCTTTAAGGCTTTGTATCACGAGTGCGTAACTGCAATGAATTGTGGATGTTGAGTACTAAGTAGAAATGTTCAGGTGTAAAATCCTTTCAGTAAATGCACTCCCTGCTGGAGACTTCAGTTGTATCATATTCTATGAAGACAGAATTATTTGTGAAGTTGTTGGAGGTTAGCATGTCAGTCATATGGATGCCCTTCATTTGGATTTTCTGCTTCCCTGTTATCACTGAATGGCGTATATTCCCTCTGTGTGTGTGTGTGAGGGATTTTTTTTAACTGTGGTTCGGGCTTGCCATATGGTACCAAAACATTGTGAGTGATACATAAGATGTGGAAGAACAGTTGTCACTTTACAGACAAGCTTCTTATAAAGTCAAGAAATTAGTTGATTGTCTCAATACTTCACTGAAATTTTTTGATCTTGCCCAGGTTACATATCTCATGGATAATTTCATTTACCTTCATAGTTAGATGAATGTGTCATTTACAACGGATAATGTAAATTTTAAGGAGGAATAGAATTTATTATTCAAATCCATGGGATCTAAATGGTAAACTTTGTGAAAATATAGGCATTCTGTTTTTTCAGTATTAACTACTACTTCTCTCTCGTCAGTGGTTCAGCAGTATTATGCTCACCGACCACGGATGTGGTCAGGGGTTCGATTCCCGGCCGACGCACTCCTAGACCTCTCTAAGCCATTATTAAGGCCGGTAAAGAGGGAACATCGGGTTTGTGGCTAGCGACCCCATACCGTAAACATAAAACCACCGCTTCGGAAACTTCAAAGCTCAAGCTTGAAGCCCTACTTTCCACTCGGAAAGCAAAGGAATAAAAAAAGTGTCTCAGTTTTTGCATCGTAGGCAGGTCCTCGCTATTTTTGTATTGGAGACAAAAAATCAACAATCCCTACTTTTATAGCTGTTGCTCACTGGTCAAAGAGCTGTACTTTTAATCACGCGTTTAGACTCTAGAACTCATACCGAGTTTTAAAGATAACCAAATGAACCCTAAAACAATTGGTGTGACGGAGTGTCAAACGCGCAGGCATACACATATCGCCTTAATAATTTCTCTTCCTATTTTCACATGACGTTGTTGACCTAAGATGAATTCTGGTAAGTAAATAAGGTGGCAGGGACTAAAGTGAACCGGAAACTTGTGTCGTGGAGTAATTCATTTGTTTCTGAGAATCTACACCACTTTTATTTGCTTGAATAAATGTCTTTCTACTGTCACTATTTGTCTGAAAATAGTTGGCTTCTATGTCTCTTGTTGGAATGAATTTGTCAAGAGTTCAATCAGTAGTACAAGAGTGTGTGGAGCTTGGCATTAAATCGTCTACAGTCAATAATAAGCAAGTTTCGTGTGCGCAAAAATCTTCAACTGTCCTCGCAACGAAAAAAATTTCAGAGGATGAAGAAGAAGTAGAAGCTGTATTTGAAGAAATCCAAGATTCATTCGATATTCCAATCGACCAATGCTCGGATCCAGATCAGATGATGCTCATAGGGGGAAGCTTGGCCAAAAATATATCCATAGATAACGAGCTCATTCAGTCGATGAAAGATTGCAGGAATTCTCAAATGTATATGAAAATGTTAGAATCTAGACGTAGACTTCCGGCGTACCAAATAAAAGAGGTAAGAATATCCTGTGTTTATTTTTTATGGGATTTCACGAACATTATTAAAGCTGCTTTTACTGGTACTATCTTATTATTACTAGTAACTTCGTGCTTTGCACGTCTGCAGTAAAACTGGCCAGTTGTGTTCCGTCATAATTGCTCCACAAATTCGTTATTTATCATCAACTAAATGCTGTATATCTCTGCGAAAACATGAACAGAGATATCTACCATAACCAATTCCGTTTTGTGTTGTCGCGTTCTCTAAGCTTCAAAATGAATTTAGCGCTAAAGATATTATCCAGGGACAATGACAGCATCATAATTAAATCATGCATATAAGAAGAGACAATAACCAAAAACACTCCACTTGAAGTACAGGTCAACATCACAATTAATTTCTATTTTTAGAAGTATGTTACAGATATAAGTTGCTCATCTGCTAAAGTTTGGGATTGCTTTTAAAAATTCCGGTGAAAAATACGGCGTCTTAAAGTGTGACTTTCTCCAAATCAATGGTCATGTGATATATTTATGACTAGATTTATTTGAGATCGAAGTTCAGAAGAATCGAAGATTGTCATTTACGTTTAGTAAACAACCTGTTACTGACTGCTCATTAATCGTAGCCTAACATTCACAGAAGTAGATGTCAAGTCTCACATAATGCTGCCTTGTTACAGAGGGTTTTGTAAGCAATTCACACATTAAACTATTTTTTCCAGAATTGCACATACATCAAATTCGTAATGCATGATTACTATATCTCCTCATCAGAATTGGATCTGATGGTAATGGTCTATCTTATAGTGCTATTAATCTATGCACTATAAATCCTGGATATTGATTATATATTGAATTACACACCATACGAGAAACATTCTCAAAAAGAATGTGATAGCAGCTGAAATATTTAAGACGATATGCCGAGCCACACTGCTCACGTTATTTAGCATTTCCAGGACCTTGTACTGTACTGTGTTTTATGTAATATGCGGTGTAAAAATATTGAAATGTTATTTCTCTTCAGTGTGGTAAATAAAAATACTGTGTAACTTATGCGTCACTAATTTTTTCAGTAATAAAATGCCCTCTACCTTCATAAACTAATTATGCCGTCTGAGGTATCATTGTGGATAAAAGAGGTATTGATCATTACATAGTTTTCTACGGTGAAAAATGTAACATTTTCTTTTACAATATATTTTTAAAAAATTCAGGATGTCGTTTCAACTGTACAAAACAACCAGGTTGTAATAATAAGTGGTGAAACAGGTTGCGGAAAGACAACTCAAGTCCCACAATTCATTTTAGAAGATCAAGTCCTAAAGGGGAATGGATCTGTCACACGCATTGTTGTTACACAACCACGACGTATCAGTGCAATTTCAGTTGCTGAACGTGTTGCAGCTGAAAGGGGTGAATCAATAGGATCTTCTGTAGGCTATCAGATTCGTTTGGAACGTCGATATCCTCAGCGTCCTCATGGTTCAATTCTTTTTTGTACAACAGGAATTATTCTTCAATGGTTTCGTTCTGATCCACTGTTAAAAGTAAAGTGAAATTCATTTTTTTTTTCAGTATAATAATAAACCCTAAAATGAAATGTCTCACTCATTTATCGTAATTTGTGGCTGTTTTGCTTATTGAATTTTTATTCGTCCAATTGTCCATATTTTAAGCCATTGTCTAACTAATCGAATATCTAATATCTTTCTTGTTCCTACCTATAATGTTTCGTTTGTTGGATTGGATATTCAGTGGTGAATAGCTTTTTTTCCATTCTTTCACCTTGAATATATGGTGAAACGATATGTGGATAAATTATGTATTAAAATTGCTTTTCATATTTACGAGGAGTGAAATTAAGTAGTAGGACCTATATGATGGACCTTCTACAAAAATATGGTAATTATCGCAGTAGTAATTCGGCCTCATCAGTAATACGCTTGTGGATGCTTTTCGTTCAATTCCTATATATTGCTTCATGCATGCTTTGTTAACCCCCATACTCAGACGACTGTAAGTAGTGCTTATGCTGAGCATTCTACGTTTTATAGGTAAGTGAATGAATCATATTTAGAATGAATTGTCTACATCATCTAGATGGTTAGGAGTACTTATGAACTGCAATCATTACATTTCCCTCTCTAGCTGTTCTTGAATCGCGAAGATAGGCGTCTAACAATTAAGCATAAAATGTATTATTTAACTTAAAAATCAATTTCAATTTCTGATTAATTGTTTATGTTTCTTCATTTATGCGTTAGGTAGAATAGGTTGTGTGAATAAAGTCATTTAATATGAACGATTTACCTAATCTTATCTATTAGTTCGTTGGCCAGTCAGTATTCACTTACTCGGTACCGGGCTATGAGTCATTCATTGTGTGAGGACTAATGATACTACCCGGTTTCCCCAAGCTGATGAAGTGAATGGAGGAAGATTTGAAACTGTAATTCTTTGAATGGAAGTCGAGTGCATAAGCCAATCGCCCCCCTCCCCCCTTCAATAGGTAGAAAGACGTTGCAAATGTATATTGATCGTATTTTTTTCTTTTACATTTTCTTGTGGTATATGATGAGTTTTATACAGAAAAAATGAAATCAACTAACAGAAATAACTTGAACATCGAACTTCTGTTTTTATTATGCTCTGTTTTACTGTAGAATATCAGCCATATTATTGTCGATGAAGTGCATGAACGTGAATTCTTATGCGATTTCCTACTGTGTATGCTGAAACGAATAGCTCCTCTTCGTCCGGATCTCCGGATAATTCTTATGTCAGCAACAATTAATGCAGATAGATTCTCTGAGTATTTTAGTAAGTTTACGTTTTTATTACTTTTTTATACGGATAGTAGTATAATTTATACTGTTGTGTCTTACTATTTCAGGAGATGTAATATTCAACTTAAGACTAAACGGAATATTTTCTGTTCCCTATATTTCTTAACCTCTCCATATATATATATATATGATCACTTACAGTCAGTTACGGCCTTCGTAACATACTGGTGGCATAGTGGTTAGGACGCTCGCCGTCCATCCACATGGTCCGTGGTTTGATCCCCGGTCGGCGCGCTCCTTTAATGCACTCAGCCAGAAGTAAAGCTGGTAAAGAGGAAAGGTTGGGCATGAGGCTAGCAACCCCATCCTGTAAAATAAACATTGCTACAGAAACTTCAAGCCACTAGCGTGGAGCCCTATGTTCCACTGGGGACGTGAAGGGAAAAAAACTTACACTCGGTTATGGCCTTCGTAACATACTGGACATTTTTTCTTATCCTGTATGCAAATGCTCTTGCTTCTCACTGATTTCTATTACCTCCGCTCTGTTTGTAGTTTTTTTTACTGTTTTCAGTTGGATTTGGATAGCCTTACCTGGTGAATCTGTGTGTTCATTTTTTGTGCTTTTGTCCTTTCCCCAATTTAGTGTATCCGCCATGATTGGTACTGTGTTTTTCGTGATTTTATAATCAGGAATAAAAGATTCGAGAATCTTTGTTTTATATCTCACAACTGCTCGTGAAAAATTCAGCACGTTTGACCAATTTTTTGACGATACTTTTCCTGTGAAATTCTTCTTGTCTGCTGTTTCGTCTATTTTTCATTTTCACATTCTGTGTGTATAAATATCTTGTGTTTCACCTATTTGCATAACTGCGGAACGAGATTTTCTACGGACATTGTGAATGTAAAACTTGATCACTAGTTATACTTCGTAATTCATTTGATAGGTTACTGGAATAGAACGTTAAATTAATCCTTGGCAAAGCTGGTCTGGATTATGTGGCGACTCATTCACCCTTTTAATGCTTCTTGTTTCTTTACATCGATGAGCTGTCTTGTGATACTAACAAACCCAGTTAACAACAGCATTAATGGGGTATTTTTAAAAATGACTTCTTATTACTTGTTTAGTTTTGATCAGCTTTGCCGCGTGCCGCATTACATCAGAACTTCCATTACAGCGGCATTTAGTCTTTTTATCTTTTGTCTCCTATGTTTCAGTTCATTGGAATTACGTTTTGGAGTTGATAATGGACTGGGTTTCAGTGTGTTAGTAATCATTATTATTATTGTTCCCTTGGGTTCCGAGTGGAATATAGGGCTTCAACAATACATCTTCACTTTGAGTGCAGTGGATTTCCAAACTGGTTTCATGTTGATGAGGTCGTATCTTGCCATTCCGATTTTGTCCGGATTTGACATCTTCATCCGTTGCGCCTGTAGTTGAAACGATGCTTCCTAGATAAATGAGGGGTTAACCTCTGTTAAATCTCTCCCGTTGATGGTTGTTGTTTCTATTGTTTGTTTATCTTCACCACCTTCGTCTTCTTTATGTTCATTCAGAGTCCTGTCTTCGCTGCTTCTTCAGTCAGTTCGTTGGTTTTCGCTTGTTTTCGAGTTTGTGTGACATTAAGCATATATCATCTGTGAAATCCAGATCTCCTAGAGTCTTTTTGTCGGTTCAACGTACCCTTGTCTTTTCACTCCAGGTACACAGTCTGATGCATAATTCAGTCCACCACAATTAGGAATATCACCGGTGATAATAAACAGTCCTGTTTTACCCCTGTATTCACTGCAAACTCCTCTCTGATTTTTCCGTTGTGGATCATCTGACACACTGTCATATAGCGAGCTGTTGAATGAGGTTGATAAAGACTTGAAGTACACCGTAGTGTTAAAATAGTTTCCAAATTACTTCGCGGTCAACACTGCACTATCGAAGGCCTTTTCGAAGTCGATGAAGTTGAGGTAGAGATAGGTTTGACTACCATTCTACGCTTTGTTCTGTGATGATGATGCGTAGAGATGCAATTTGATCAGCACATGATTTACCTTTCATGAATGCAGGTTTTTCCGGTGGGCGGAGTTCTGCATCCAGTGCATCCTTTATTCTCTCCAGGATAACGCGACTTAGTATTTTACTTCGGGTGGACAGCAGTGTTATGAAGCGGATAATTCTGCGTCGCTGTGTGATATTTCAAATAAACTTATGTAACATGGAATTAAATGCTCCCACTTATTTAGCAAAAAACAGTATTTAATCGTGTATTTTTTTCTTGGATGAGAGTCTGTCATACGGGATCTCAGAATATAACTGATCTCGAAAATGTATTTCTCAGTTTGGAAGTTTTCCTTAGTTGTAAATCATACTCTACGTGGCTGTATTATCTTTTTACGTTGGAAATACATTACTACTTATTTAGAGGCAGTAGGTTAAGTACATTGGAAACATTTTCCAATCTGAGCTTACGACTATTAACTAAACCGCAGAATTCGTGTTTCGCTCATTCTTTGGTCGTATTGTGGTGAGAGCAGGCTGCTAGCCAATTGGTCGACATTAATCTACGTCATTGTCTAGGTCACTAGTATTGGCTGTGAGAAAATATGAACAAGGCTGATTCAACAACCAATCACAGCAGACTTAACGTGGGCAAATATGCTTCGCAGATAGATGGCTCCATTTTCAGAGGAAACTCGAAACAGCCAATCAGAAGCCTACGTTTGTCTGCTTAACTTCCGAGAAACAACCAATTAGAAGACTGCTTTTGTCTACTTGAATAAGCTATAATAATGTACAGGAAATATATATAAATACGTGCTGATTTCCGTATTAAAGGATCTGTTGCCGGCCGTTGTCTTCTGTTGTTACACTTGGTGTCGCTGGCTACAAAAAAATGAAAATCCCATGACCAACTGCGTTTGAAGAAGGAGACATACGGAGCTTCTTACGTGACTTCGAGTCCGTCACTGAGCTGGTGGGTATCAAGGAGCAGGGGCGAAGGCAGTTGTCCTGGGGACGCTGTTGAGAGGCCGAGCTAAGGCGGCATATGACAGCGTAGACAGGTCAAATGGCACAGCGTCTTGGAAGAAATTGTAGTTGCAGAAAGGTGGTGACCATTTTAGTTCTTACTTGACTGATTTTTACTAGGTAGTCGATAAGTGAATTTCCTACGTTAGAAGTTGAACTTTCTCATTCTCATCTGTGTAGAATACAATGGCTTTTACCAGTAACTGTTAAAAGTATTACGCCAATATTATCTGATTTGATCCCTAGACACCATGAAGAATGATTATGTAGTTAATAGGAAAGGTCAGGTCAGATTCAGAATGAAAAACTGATATTTTAGTACTCATTTCACGTAAGCTATAAAATCCGACTTCGTATTGATTTAAGGCATCAGCAGTCAATCGAAATAAATGGATATCCTTCCAGCAGTAAAAAGGGTACATTGTGTGTGATTCTCAAGTGTAGAGGCCATTATCATTGATTCACTTTCCTATAGTTTCCAGCTTCTGTAAATTTCAATTTACCCCTTGTTTGCTTTTCGGCAACTTTTTAAAACTGAAATCTATCTGTGATGAAGTTAGTCATCAAATGTTAAGTTTTATGAGTTTGTAGGGGTGCTGATATTTTGTGGCTGCATCTCCTAATAACGTTTGATATGCTTGTAGTTGTCATCCATCTCACTTTTTATACTAGGAGTCTTTTTTGAAACCTTTTAATTCCCTACATCCATCCATGGATGGATGTCCCACCAACGACAATGGCTGGGGTTGCGCTAAATCATGAATTGGTAGAAGTCAGAATTCATAAGCCATTAAATCGTGTCCCAGTGGCTGAATGGTATACGAGCTTGCCTTGTAACCGGAAGGTCCTGGGTTCGAATCCCAGTGAGTGCGTACTGATGATAATTCCCAAACTAGGATGAAACAGCAGCTGTACAGTTCTTTCTGGTTTTCAATGGTTCTCTAACTGATATCAATCCGTGATCAACTCGTAAAAACTTTTTAATTCCGTTTATTTATACCTAAAATTATGTTCATATAAGCATAAATTCTATTCTGCAAATGTTTAAAAATAGATGGAAGTTCGAGAACTCGTCTTACATTTTGGGTGTTGATTTATGATATCAACAAGCCATAGAAACCGAGTGGATGAGCAAACGTCTCTGCGTTATCTCACACATTTCGAGGCAAATTTTTATCTGTTGACGTTAATCAAAGAAAAAAAAGCGAATTAATTTTTGACTAATATGGCATCCTTCTTTTCACTTTTAGATAACTGTCCAAAATTCGAAATTCCTGGTAAAACATTTCCAGTCAAAACTTACTACTTAGAAGATATTTTGAAAGAAACAAAGTGAGCTTGGTGTTTAGTATTGTTCTCATAGGAAATAATCACTCCTGTAAATCATAATAATTTTTTTCTCCTTTGGTACAGCTTGAATTTACTGTAGACTTCCATTTCACTGAACTTATCTGGACAGTATTAATTCTTTTATCTGTTTGTTCTTGTCACGTATAGTGTGGTCATTATTTTTAAAGTGTGTTATTCTCTTTTCCACTTACTTCAGTAATATCTTGGAAGCATTAAGTGTCTCCTACTCTGAGTAAAATTCTAGGATATTATGTGTCCATTAATAATGATTATGAAATATGCATGGAGAATTTCATCATGAGCTGACATCAGTTAGAGAACCACTGGAAAACCTGGGAGTACTGGATAGCTGTTTCGTCCTGGTTTGGATGCGTACTGATGAAGAGTCCCAAAGTAGGACGAAACAGCTATCCAGTACTCTCAGGTTTTCCAGTGACATTCTAACTGATGTCAGCTCATGATGAAATCCTCCATGCAATCAAACAAAATCCCTACAAAACCAATAACTGAATATTAAATATGGATTGAAAAAATATAGTGACTTCTAGACCATTTGTTAGATTTTAATGTCTGTGATCTGGTAATACTTTTGAATATGGAATTACAAACGTCATACAAGTTATTATCGACTCGTACTTCAGATTATTTTAGATTACTTGGTTTTTATTTATGCAATTATTTATCACAGTCAAATTGTTCATTGAGAAGTTATCAGTATTTCTTTGTCTAGCCTACAGTGCTACTGAAATGTGTGTATATATAGTATGACCACTGAACCGAGTAGGATATTATTCATAAAATCACTCCCTTTGAGAAGGAAGTTGTAAGAGTTACACCACAGAAAATATATTATTTATGTGAAGATGTATGTCATTGAGTTATTCAATCTACTCAGGAAGTGTTTATAGCATGTTAACTGATCAGCTGTGCTAATTTGCACATGAGAATGGAACTTGGGCATTGTGGTAGAGTATGATACCGTCATGGAGTATATTTGTTTGATGAAGTTACACTGTGATACACTATTATTATTTTATTGATGACATTTCTAGCACAATTCACTGCTCATAATCCTATCAAGGTACTTACATAAATTTCCAACTTCGTTTATATCACTTCATTATTTATCCCTTGATTTGATTGGTCATTAATAAATAATGCTGTCTCACTCTGTGATTATCAAATAAATTTGCTCTATGATGTATTAATTATATTTAGCTGCTGTTCAAAAAATATTTCCGAGCATTTTTCTACAATGTTGTTGAATAGTAGTAATAAAATAAGTGAACGAAATAAATTGGTTTTGTTAATTAGTGGATTTATGATTATGTATGTATTTCTAATCTTTCTGACTATGTTTCTGCTTTAGATTCTGGTTGCCAAACACTGCTATGAATAAACTTAAGCGTAACCAAGCGTCTACATTAAAACAACGTCTTCTTAAATCGAATATTCCTAAGAAAGAGGCTCTCAAACGGTCCTATGGAAAAACTCCTGAGTTCTCTCGATGGTTGCAATCTTTAAATGGGTGAGTTTACAGTAAGAAGATGTTGATTATTCTGTTCATAGTCATAGTGTCATAGTGTAAAGGTAGAAGACGAGGAATTTCGTAAAGGAAAGTTTTTTTTTTGGGGGGGGAGCTGGATTTGGTATCTCAGTATAGCGAAATTGTGTATGCCTTATCTGTAAATCGTCATTTGCACAGATCGTCCGTGTTGTCTGTCTGTTTTCGACATAGAACTTTGCACAAATGTGCGGAAGTTCAAGTCGCCACATTCCGTGTAGCACGCGAAGCAAGAGAAGAAAGTACAAGAAAAGCATAATAGAAACAGTGAGCAGAGGTGTGAGACAAAGGAGTAATAAAGAAATACAAAACAGTTTCATTGAAGATCATAAGTCACAGGGAGTGGATGCATCTGCGCCACTGAGAACGATTTTGAGCCATGTCACCAATTGTTTCCAACCATAGATTTTTACCGTCCCGAGGACCCCAGCCTGGAAGTCTACACCTTCCTACGTGGCTTAGACCAACTGTTGTGGATTTCATTGACTGATGCCAAGTTTTTGTTTGACCGCCGCTAGCTTTTTTCCAGCCTGACCCTATATCCGCTAACATTGCTCGTCGAGGGAGGCGATGGCTTGGCATACGTAACACATGTCCTAACCATCTCAGTCTTTGTAGCTTCACGACTTCGTCGATTGATTTCCCCTGTTTACCTAGAACTCTACGCCTAACCTCCATGTTGCTCACCTTATTATGCCACTTTACACGGGAAATAGAACGCAGGCACCTATGATCAAAGACAGCTAGTCTTTTCATGTCTTCCACTCTCAGTGGCCAGGTCTCACAACCATAAAGGAGGACGGAGCGGACTGATGAGCAGTACACCCGCCCTTTGGTCGATAGTCGAACATCTCGTCTACGCCAGAGTCGGCGTAAACTAACAAATGCGAAACGAGCCCCTTGTATTCGTGCTGAGATTTCGTCAGAGATCAGCCCGTTGGGGCTGATGGTACTTCCCAAATAAGTGAAGCGGTCAACGTGCTCTACCACTTCACTTCCTATTTTTAAACTAGGCGTCGATGTAGTCCAGTCCTGTAACATCATCTTGCATTTGGCGGGAGCGAATCGCATGCCAAACATTCGTAGATTGCGGCTCAAGGTGTTTAGAAGACTCTGCATTTCGTCAGCGTCTTCGCCTAGAAGGACTATATCGTCTGCATATTCCAAGTCAACGAGATTATTCCCCGGTAGCAAGTCAATCCCTGAGTCGCTGAAGTCACCTAGGGTTAAGTCCATTAACACATCTATGATGAAGTTGAATAGAAAAGGAGATAATGGGCATCCTTGACGGACACCACTGGTCGTCATCAGTTCAGATGACAGCTCGCCGTAAGCCCTCACCTGGCTGTATGAGTACGAGTAGAGTGCCTTAATCAGTGCAATATATTTTCTCGGAATTCCCTTTACAGCCAAGCATCTCCAGAGAACTTCCCGATCGACAGAGTCGAATGCTGCCTTTAGGTCAAGAAATATAATGACTGTTGGACGCCGGTAGGAATGCCTATGTTCTAGAATCTGTCGGAGGGTGAAGATATGATCAATACACCCTCTTCCTGGTCTAAAGCCTGCCTGGCTCTCTCGTGTTTGTGCTTCCCGAGCACCACTCAGTCTACGCATGATTATTGAGCCTAAGACTTTAGATACTATATTAGTCAAGCTAATCCCTCTGTGATTATCACAGGAAGACTTGTCTCCCTTCTTGTATATGGGGATAATCAGTGACTTACACCAACCCGATGGGACTTCTTCTGATTCCCAGACGCTGCCTAGTACCTCAGTTAATCCGGACAGTAAGCTGTCTCCACCGTACTTAAATACCTCTGGAGTCATTCCATCAGGTCCCGCTGCTTTGCCTAGTTTCAGATTGGTGACAGCTTTAGTAACCTCAGTTAGTGACGGAGGACCTGTGTCTATATCCCATTCAGGGAGGTGTTGGATGCTCGGAAGGTTGAGCGTGGCTGTGGGCAAATTAAACTGCTCCTCATAATGCTCTTTCCAACGATCCAGTCGTCTATCCTGGGAGCTAATTATAGTGCCATTTTTTTCCGAGATTGTCTCACTGATGATTTGTCTTCTCCCACCCGTTTCCCTGATGAGTCCAAAGAGTTGCCTGGTGTTGCCTATCCTCGAAGCTTTCTCCATCTCTTTGGCTTTTGTCGCCCACCACTGTTCACGGTCCTTGCGGAGACTTTTCGTAAGTTTCCTCTTGTGCAGCTTTCGCTCCTCATTGAATTCGGAGCTCGCCGGAATAAGTCTTCTAGCATCTATCAGTTCGGATGAGGCGGTGGAGATCCAGTGGTTTTTACTCACCTTTGGGTTTACCTTATTCACAGCTTTTACAGCTGTATCTATGGCTGCCTGGATATTTTTCCAAGCTTCTTCAGGGTGAGCACAGCTGTCGAACACAGATATGTGTTTAGCTAGTTCTTCCTGAAATACGGATTTAGTTTCCTGATCGAGCTGGGGACGTGATGGTTTTACCGCCAGCTGTTTCCTACGTCCGTTCAGTCGTAAGCACACCCGAGCGCGGACCAGTGCATGGTCGGTATCTACGCACGTGTTCCAGAAGGAGCGACAATCTCCTACCGACCCACGCCAACGATAGCTTATTGCTATGTGGTCTATTTGTGTCCAGCGTTGGTTTGATGAAGGGGGTCTCCAAGTCAAACAGTGTCTCTCCTTGTGTTTAAAGTTAGTGCTTACAAGAAACAAATGATTATCAGAGCAGAACTGTAGGAGACGGTCACCGTTGTCGGTTCGCTGGCACGGAGCTCCATAGGTGCCACCGACATCCTTCTCAGATTGACACAATTTCCCTACTTGAGCGTTAAAGTCACCAGCTAGAACGACTATGTCTGAGCGTTTAGCCTTTCGCACCAAACTAGACAGCTTTTGGTAGAACTCATCCTTCGTTTCATCTGAACTGCAGTCAGTGGGGGCGTAGGCGGAGATTACGAAAAGGCATCGGCGAGTAGTGCAGTCCTTCCTCCTTCTTACTGATCCGTTCAGGCGGACAGCACACATTCGGCTATCTACCGGGATCCAGTCAAGCAATGTCTTTTCTGCCCTAGTACTCAAAGCTATCCCTACGCCAGCTAATCCTCGTGAACTAGCTGTGGCATCTCCTGACACCCTCAAGGTGAATTTTGCAGATTCAACCTGTTGGCCAGGTGGGGTTAGGTGAATAACCACACTTGGGTCTTGTATGCGTGTTTCTGAAACACAGCATACATCAATGGCTCGTGATGCCAGGGTCTTGGCTAGTGATGCTTGTTGTCCTATTTGGCAAAGTGTCCTAACATTAAGAGCTCCTATATGAAATTGGTGGCGCGGCTTTAAGAGGCTGTCGGTGGTGGTTTTTTGGCTTCCATCGTTTTTAGTGGACGCAGAGTGGAGAGGAAGTGGAGAGCTATCAAGTCGAGGAGTTGCATCAGTGGAAGGAAGGCAAGATGATAGAGATGAAGATGAAGACAAAGATGAGTGAGTAATAGAGAGGTTTCGTGTGCATTTCGGATTGTGAGGGCGATTGTTACTTCCCGGCTGCCCACACCGTGGAAGTTGGTTGCGTGACCGCAGAGCCCAGGGGACAACTGCTTGAGGCCGGTCACACGCGGCCTGTTTTTGTTTGTTCTTTTTGTTTGGTGTGTCTCAGTAGCATATTTATCACTCCTGCCCTGTGACACGGCAGCAGGAAGCGCGGTCGTTGTTAATCCGGGCCACGGCCGATCCGGCATGAAATTTTGTAATTTTGTATTGGACATGATGTTGGATTGGGTAGCTGCTTTTTGTTTAACCGCTATCCAAACAACCTGCCTGGCATGGTAGAACCTCAAGAGACATAAGTCTCAGCCAGTATAGCTTGAATAGATCATTGCGGTGTTCAAGCCCGACCACCACGTCAAGGTAGCAGCTTTCGGTCGGGAAAGCGTTATCCACTAGACCACTTGGGCTACTTCTGTCTTTCATATTATGTTGTTTTTGTCTCCTTTTCTTGTCTCCTATGTTTTGCTGCAACTCTGAATCATTTGCTTTCCCTGACGTCATATATCTGCCTGCCCACTACTTGATGTCTTAATGCCGATGAACATCTCCTTATGTACATACTACTGATAAATCTTATCAGTAGAACAAGCCACAATACTAGCTGTCAAAGAAATTCATTCCCTTTCTCTTTGCGTATTATGTTTTTCGTAAATGATAACTATCAGTCACCCTTGTTATAACAACACAGGTATAAACATTCCAACGGCAAATAGTATTGTAAGGGCGGAGTATTAAAATCTGTTTTTCATATTTCACTGACGTAGGCACATATCCTTCTTAAATGCAAATGAGTTATTTTATCATGTGATGCACATGGTGCACCTCTGCATGTACAAAACAGTCTACAACAAGTAAACCAATATAATAATACCAAATTGTTTTTTATTTACTGCGTGTAAAGCTTTTCTTTTACGTCTCGAGCTTGTTAAGTTAATGTACATCAAGATACCCTGAAATTGTTCTTCAGTTAATGGTAATTTATAGTTAAGGAAGATTATAATACTTTCTAATTAAAAAACCTACATTGTATGAAAAAAAGCATTCTCATATTTCATCCAAGCTGTCAGAATATTGTATTATCACACACCAATTTATGAGTTCACATATTATTTCAACCTTTGACATGCAGAGTTACGCAATGATCAAACCTGGGTTAAATGGTATCAACTTTAGAAGGATTTCAGGTTTATGAAGCGGCATACTAAGGTGTTCCTCAAAAAGTCTCATCCACTTTATCAGAAAAGTTATCAGAAAATGATCTTATCGCATGATTTCTCTAAATAATACTACCTTCCCGTATTTTTTCTCCAATAAAGTTTAATAGAAGCGTGATCTTTGTCAATCAGAAAGTTAGCTTTAAAGATCCCTTAACGTACTTCTCTAGTGTCTAAAGTTAATATTGTCTAAAACCAGACTAACTTTCTCATCATCTTCATGTGCTTGTTAGAATATAATTACATGAGCCCAATCTAGTACACGGTGTGCGTCGGTGGCATAACGGTTAGGTCGCTCGCCGACCATGCATATGGTCCGGGGTTCGATCCCCGGCGGACTCACTCCTCTACCTCGCTAAGCCAGAAATAATGTTGGTATAGAGGAAAGGTTGGGCATGAGTCTAGCAACCCCATCCTGTAAAATAAACACTACTACAGAAACTTCAAGCCACTAGCTTGAACGTGAAGGAAAGAAAAAAATCTAGTACACGTCAACACTCAGGTTATCTACTAATATAACGTCTGCAATTTGGTTATTTTTGTAATCATTATCAAAACATTTGTATCCCTTGAATCTAGTACATTAAAACAATTAGTCTCTCTGATAAATTTGAATAAGGCATTAAGAAGACAAATTTCGCGAGATGATATCATTTCGTAGTTTCTTTACAACCGCTTTACAACTTACATGTTTAACAATAATAAGATAAAGTTCAGTTAAGTAAAAAACAAAAGTACATACTAATGACCAATCATATTTTGATAGGTCATGTAGTCCATGGTAGGTGAAGATTGCAGTCTATTGTTTTTTGTACACACACAGTTTAGGCTGTATTTGATTAATCCAAAGTACTTTCATCACCTTCAATGTCCTTGAATTAGAGTTGTGTGAAATAATTGTGGAACAGTCATTAATATTGATTTTGTGATCTGACATTAATAAGTGTTTTGCAATGGATGATGCTGGATTTCTATTCAGATTAATCGCATTGGGATTTTCTATATGATTTAGTAGCCATTTTGGAACATGTTCTTTTCGACGACATTGGAACATTCTGTTGGTTCTACCTATATAAGTGTCATCGCAGCTGCAGGTGAACTTATAGATACAGTTTGAAGTAGAGTCCACAGAATTTCATCCTTTAATCGCACGTACAGGGGTCGAAAATATTCGGCAAATGAGAAAGAGAGATTTGGCATAGAATGTGCGTTTGATAGCTGACCGAAGTCCTTGAGCTGTCTACTGGTCGCCCTTGAATAGTAGGTTAATAAAGATAGCTTTCTTTGGTACAGAAGCTATCTTTTCTAGATGTGGTCTTTCTTTACTGTGACAAGTGATAAGGTTTTCTGGATAACCATTAGCTAATAAAACTGAATGTGTATGTCGAAACTCATCCATCACTGTGTCACTCGTGCATATTTTTCGGGCCCTTGAGAACAAACATTAAATCTAGTAAGTAAACAACATTCTGTTAATCCAGTTTGTTTCGAAGCCCTTGTGTCGCCATTCTGAGTAGAAAGCTGGCATTAAAAGCTTTTTTGTATTAATGTATCGTTAAGCTTACACGCAACCAGACGAATTCTTACCGCTTGTAACTGCATACATTTAGATCATGTATGTATCCTCACTAAATGATTTAATGATAAATTAACTAATTATTCTTTAGAATTAAATAAAGGTGTAAACCACAACTCAGTTTGTTGATCGAATAACTTTCAGTGACATTCAGCCCACCTTCCCCATTGCAATTTCAGAGCTATTCGTCAAGTGTATACTAGTAAGGCTTTTGGTTGTTAATCGGTATAATCGACTGTCTTTTCCACTTTCAACTGCGTCATCTGTGAAAATGTCCCTTTATATATGTGGGCATCTGAGTATTTCCAACAAATTAAAACAGTTGTTGCACAAAAAGTACTCCATTCAAATATTATATTATTTATCATTCAAGTGGGTGCTTGGAGTAGTGGTCTTTTGAACTGGTTTAACAGAACCCATTAAACCATTGATAAGCTTGCTGTCAAGCGGACAAAATAGTCACCCAAATTTTATATCACGTTGTTCTAATCCATATCGGTTGGTGTTATTGCTTCAAAACATCTCATTTTAGTCGAATATATGCGTTCTGTGGTCTGTGGAATATATAACTAGTGTTTGTTTATGTTTATCTATGGATTTTTTGCATGAGTTAGCAATTTCATAAGTGTCTATCAACTTTACTTTTAAGACTTGCTGTAAATTTTTTTACGACTCAACCCTAGGCTGTCTTCAAATGCAATAGAAATCTTACGTAGTGTCGGTGAGGATAGTTATCCAGAAACTGATCTCATCGCTCATTCCATTGAACATATTCTGCAGAATACTGAATGGGGTGCAATACTTGCTTTTGTTCCAGGTCTTTCTGTAAGTTATTTCTTGAAATTATGAATTCTGTCGCAAGTTGTGAAATGTTTCAGTTTTCGGTATAAAATTGTGAGGCATGAGTTCAGAAAGAACTCTTTCTGTTTTTACTTTATAAATGATTAGGTATAGGCAATTTTTCTGTGGTTCTGTAAGGATGGATGGCAGCTGTTCAGGTCATATTCATAAGGATATGTCAAAACTTAAGATGGAATAATAACCTTCTTCAAGTCGCTCAGGGTCATTGATTGTTTTGCAGGTTTTCAGTGATTTCTAGACTCACTTCATGATAACACGGTATTTCAACATTTTGGAACTTGTTTATCTCAGAACTCGTCTTTGAAATGAAGTAGACATCTACGATGTTTTATCCTTCAATCAATAATGTTAAAGGTCGTGATTCGATTTGATTTATTCAAAGCACCTACTCAGAGTGCAGTGTAAACACTAAGAAATACAGAAATTAATAATGGTAACAATAATTATATGAAATATATAGGCGAGGAAGAAGTTGACGAACAAAAAAATTTCTTAACAGATTAGCATATATATATATATATATATATATTAAGAGCACGTAATGGAGCATTTAATACTTCACATTACCTTCAAAAAAAGAAGAAAGAAAAAAAATTGCAGCATGTTTGTGACTGTTTTCGATTCTAAGCTGTATCTGATATATCTTCATTCTAATAGATATCTAGACCTTAATTCATCTCATCCGTTAACTGTTAAGGCAGGCTTAGTTAAGTGTCTAACAGGCCGAGCAATAGCACTAAGTAGTACAACAAAAAACCTAAATGATGAAATGAAACAGAAAGAATAGGCGTTGGTGTTAAATAAACTATCCTTTAAAATTCATTAGGAAGATCAGAAAAGGACAAAAGCTAAATAAAGAGAATAGTGAAACTAATAATGATAACATAAATAAGAAAGTATAAGTCATCTACAATTTTACTATATAAGGGGTGGAACATCTGAGACCTTACGTGGTATCCTTAACAAAGCAGGAATTAGAGTGGTATTCAAACCTACATACTCGCTCACGGGACAAGCTCTGTAGGCTGAAGGACAAAATAATAGAGAAAATAATATAATTTAAAAATACCTTGCAATGACTGTGAGTTAGGGGAACTAGGTCAAACTAGTGGATCGGGAATAGTGGCATTATCAGAACATAAACATTTAGCAAAGATTAGAATGATTGACTCTGATAAGGTAAGTAATTTAGAAGAAAAGCTCAACAGCTACACTGCATGCATTAAGACACAACCACACAATAGGGTGAGACAGAGTCAAAATTCTAAAAAGTAATATAGGTAGGTGGCGAGAGGGATTGATTACTGAATCCATGTTCATCGCGTCTACACCCAACACCTGCAACAGAGATGATTCGACGCAAATACCAGGGATATGGAAGATATTATTGCCAGTCGAATCAGAGGATAATGAATAATGTTAAATTATATTTCAATCCACAGTATAACGTTTTATCAAGTTATTTATTTTACTATAAAAACATCTTAACTCCCATCTTGTTGACTAATGACACTCGTCTTATTTCCCATCTTATTGTACTTTTTATTGGTAACACTTAATATTATTTCCGAATGTGCTTTATCTTCCTTTCTGCTTTACTGAAGTCATACTGATTTTATTCAAATGTCTAATCAATATTTTTATGAAGCAAGAAAGTTATGTGAGTACCTTGATATGATTATGAGCAATAAATTGTGCTCGAAATGTCATCATCAGTAAGTATTTACTGTATAACACTGTGTGACTTTATCGAAGTGAAATTTTATCCGTAATGGAATTATACTCTACCACAGTGCCCAAGTTTCATCCTCATATTAGTAATATCTGACAATGCTTCGAGCACACTTTACTGGGTCTGAGAATTACTTACGCAGTATCGTTACGAGATCTAAGTAACTTTATATTGACAGTGGTGATCGAGTCGTCACACATCCTTAGCTCGGAGAGGCCAGATATCTCAGGTGTAGAGTTGGACTGCATGTACTACAGCCTCATAAGGATTATCTTGTGAAACTTAACAATATTCTAAATGTTCTACCGAAAAGCATTTCAGGTTGATTAAATCGGTAAAAGAGCTTGTTATCATTACTACAACTACTAAGTAACGCATCGTTGCACGCAGGCCTCCCACCCTTATAACATATTGCCTCACCAACGTAATTGAAATCTGCGCGTTTTTTGACTTTTGGAGTACTGGTGTTAGACAGTCACATATAAATAATTTTGAAGTTTGATAATTTTTCATCGAGTTAACTGAAAGTCATTCTTCTATAAATAGTGACATATCGAAATTTTAGCTTCGTTTGGCTTGATATCGATTGAGTATGTCGTATAAGCATTTGTCATAATATGTACTGTTTGTCAACAATAAAACTTGTCAAAAGTGGGAAAGTTTTTAATCACGTTGTGGTACTGTGTAGTTGAATAATTGTTGCATCATTACAAATCATAAGAGTCAATAATTTTTAGACTTTTTAAACTATATTTTATTGATATATTTATTTTCAAAAAAGATGCATTCACTTACTGATTTGTTGAAAAGTAGTGTTATTAATTTATTATATTTGGATCATACTCACTAATGATCATGTTTTACTTCATATTAACTGATTTTTGAAATCTTCTTTGTGCTTCATGTTGTGGCGTATAACTAATCAGTAATAGTGTGTTTGTACAGTTCGCAACGTACTAGTACATCGGTTTGATTTACTACTTATATGTTCATAGAATCGGAATTGAAATGAACGGGTGCCTATAAAAAATTTCTTCTAGCATTTACAAGAAAAAGATGAAGGTAGGCTATGGCGTTCGATTTTCTGTTACAATTGTAGCAAATTATGTAGTCAACTACAAACTCTGAATACCACTCAACATTGAAAACTGCGAAGTTTGATGAAACACAGACACAACAAATTATTACAACAAAACTAGATTAAGTAATGCGTCAAAAGAACGAAATACTTGATATCTGATCTCCAGAAACTTCATTTCATTCGAAATCATATGATTCATGGATAATCCCCATCCAGGCATTAATGAAAACAAAACACGTAGTTCAGCGAAGAGTGTCTTTTCGGCGAATTCATTTTCTTAGCTGTACAACTGTAAATATATATATATATATATATATATATATATATATGTTATTTTGTATGTATGTGAACATTAAGTTTGTCAAACAAAAATACAATTGGTTATGGTTATTTTAACTAAACATGTGAAGATTGGTAATTGGAGTTATGTAATACAAAATCAGTCAAGAAAATTAGGTGTAAATGAAATTAGAGTAGTAACAAAGGTGATGAGTTGTCACAAACAGTTGTTAAAAGAAGTTATGTAATAATATGAATAGTTTGATGAGTGAGTTTTACTCAGGATACACACAGGAATAAAGTAGATAATACGAAATTATGTAAGAGTTCTAAAAGAATACAAGAATTGTGAGCAATTAAAGAACAGGTAAAGAAACAGAATTAAGTCATCAAAATAAAAAAAATCAAATCAAAACAAAAAAGTATGCACAGCTCCGGTTTTTCTATGTGAATGACCAGAGCTTCAGCGATAAAAAAAGACGAAAAGGCAATAGTGGTGTAATATGAAGTGTGATAATTGAACACCTGGTTAACACTTATCATTCCATTTCAACAAACGCCTCCTTCAAAGTAATCTACAGAGTCAAGAATAACCTACCAAAGGCAATACGGTTTCGTCTTCTTTGTATTGCTGAAGCTCTGGCCATTCACATAGAAAAACCGAAGCTGTGCATACAAAAGAGGATTACTCAACCGCTTCTGCTGTCATGATAGCAAATTTTTTTATTTTGATAACTTAATTCTGTTTCTTTGCCTCTTCTTTAATTGCCTATAATTCTCGTATTCATTTAGAACTCTTGCGTAATTTCGTATTATCTACTTTATTCCTGTGTGTATCCTGAGTAAGACTCACTCATCAAACTATTCATATTATTACATAACTTCTTTTAACAACTGTTTGTGACAACTCATCACCTTTGTTACTACCCTAATTTCATTTACACCTAATTTTCTTGACTGATTTTGCATTACGTAACTCCAATTACCAATCTTCACATGTTTAGTTAAAATAACCATAACCAATTGTATTTTTGTTTGACAAACTTAATGTTCACATACATACAAAATAACATATATATATATATATATATATATATATATATATATATTTACAGTTGTACAGCTAAGAAAATGAATTCGCCGAAAAGACACTCTTCGCTGAACTACGTGTTTTGTTTTCATTAAATCATATAGTGTTCATTAGTAGAACAATACAGATGAAATGAGGATTTGTTCCTCTGTGAGTTTTTTTCATACAATGATTTAGTATATGATTTGGACAAAAGAAGAACACGTAAGGAGAAAGGGCAAGATGTATTTCTTTACAAGGCTGCACATCAGTTGTGCTAGCAAAGACCAACAGAATTTTTTTCAATATTGCGAAAATATTCGTTCATAAATTTAGAAGAGAAAGGAAAATTTGAGCAAATAATGTCCCTTCCGATAATTTTTCTCTTCCGGCTCTAGAATTTTATATATATATATAATTCTAGAATAATCGTCATTACCAATATTGGTGTTTATAAATACTATCAATTTGTTATAATCATTGAAACTACAGTTCAAGAAAGACGCTTAAGTTGTGATCAGCATAAAAATATAATAGTAAATAGTGTATCAAATACAATTAAGGAAATTTCCACAACAAATTGAGGATCACTAAAACTGTGATGGCCAAGGTAAGGATAGTGTCTGGACCAACTTCTTTTCGATACATAATTTACGTTTCTTAATGTGTATCCCAACATCCTCACTACTTGTTTCGTAGGTTTTTAACTGACTGAAAGCGGTAATGAGTTCCCCATTGTTTATTGGAAGTATGCCGTCTTGTAAATATATTGTGTACATATTTTTGCATGGCTTTTTTAATTAAAGAAATATCGCAGTCTGATGGTAAATATCTGACTGTTTTCTTTGGAATATTCATAATTTGAACGATGATGGGTGTAGCGTCCGCGTTTTAATGAGAACAACATCACTTTCCGGGAATGCAAGTATATTCACGTGACTAGTCCCAAACAGAACAAAATGTGCATTCTGGTTTCCACTGCTTGTCACCATCAGCCAAAATAATACTCATAGTTTGTTTACTGCGCTACATTTAGATTCCCAAATTATTTTGCAAATATTGTCTGTCTGTCTGTCTGTTTTCGACATAGAACTTTGCACAAATGTGCGGAAGTTCAAGTCGCCACACTCCGTGTAGCACGCGAAGCAAGAGAAGAATGTACAAGAAAAGCATAACAGAAACAGTGAGCAAAGGTGTGAGACAAAGGAGTAATAAAGAAATACAAAACAGTTTCATTGAAGATCATAAGTCACAGGGAGTGGATGCATCTGCGCCACTGAGAACGTTTTTGAGCCATGTCACCAATTGTTTCCAACCATAGATTTTTACTGTCCCGAGGACCCCAGCCTGGAAGTCTACACCTTCCTACGTGACTGGCTTAGACCAACTGTTGTGGATTTCATTGACTGGTGCCAAGTTTTTGTTTGACCGCCGCTAGCTTTTTTCCAGCCTGACCCTATATCCGCTAACATTGCTCGTCGAGGGAGGCGATGGCTTAGCATACGTAACACATGTCCTAACCATCTCAGTCTTTGTAGCTTCACGACTTCGTCGATCGATTTCCCCTGTTTACCTAGAACTCGACGCCTTACTTCAATGTTGCTCACCTTATTATGCCACTTTACACGGGAGATAGAGCGCAGGCACCTATGATCAAAGACAACCAGCTAGTCTTTTGATGTCTTCCACTCTGAGTGGCCAGGTCTCACAACCATAAAGGAGGACGGGGCGGACTGATGAGCAGTACACACGCCCTTTGGTCGATAGTCGAATATCTCGTCTACGCCAGAGTCGGCGTAAACTGGCAAATGCGAAACGAGCCCCCTGTATTCGTACTGAGATTTCGTCACAGATCAACCCGTTGGCACTGGCTGATGGTACTTCCCAAATAAGTGAAGCGGTCAACGTGCTCTACCACTTCACTTCCTATTTTTAAACTAGGCGTCGATGTAGTCCAGTCCTGTAACATCATCTTGCATTTGGCGGGAGCGAATCGCATGCCAAACATTCGTAGATTGCGGCTCAAGGTGTTTAGAAGACTCTGCATTTCGTCAGCGTCTTCGCCTAGAAGGACTATATCGTCTGCATATTCTAAGTCAACGAGATTATTCCCCGGTAGCAAGTCAATCCCTGAGTCGCTGAAGTCACCTAGGGTTAAGTCCATTAACACATCTATGATGAAGTTGAATAGAAAAGGAGATAATGGGCATCCTTGACGGACACCACTGGTCGTCATCAGTTCAGATGACAGCTCGCCGTAAGCCCTCATCTGGCTGTATGAGTACGAGTAGAGTGCCTTAATCAGTGCAATATATTTTCTTGGAATTCCTTTTACAGCCAAGCATCTCCAGAGAACTCCCCGATCGACAGAGTCGAATGCTGCCTTTAGGTCAGGAAATATAATGACTGTTGGACGCCGGTAGGAATTCCTATGTTCTAGAATCTGTCGGAGGGTGAAGATATGATCAATACACCCTCTTCCTGGTCTAAAGCCTGCCTGTCTCTCTCGTGTTTGTGCTTCCCGAGCACCACTTAGTCTACGCATGATTATTGAGCCTAGGACTTTAGATACTATATTAGTCAAACTAATCCCTCTGTGATTATCACAGGAAGACTTGTCTCCCTTCTTGTATATGGGGATAATCAGTGAATTACACCAACCCGATGAGACTTCTTCTGATTCCCAGACGCTGCCTAGTACCTCAGTTAATGCAGACAGTAAACTGTCTTCACCGTACTTAAATACCTCTGGAGTGATTCCATCAGGTCCCGCTGCTTTGCCTAGTTTCAGATTGGTGACAGCTTTAGTAACCTCAGTTAGGGATGGAGGACCTGTGTCTATATCCCATTCAGAGAGGGGTTGGATGTTCGGCAGATTAAGCGTGGCTGTGGGCCAATTAAACTGCTCCTCATAATGCTCTTTCCAACGATCCAGTCGTCTAACCAGGGAGCTAATTATAGTGCCATTTTTTTCCGAGATTGTTTCACTAATGATATTGTGGAGAAAATTTATTCTGATTAGAGTCTCACAGTGTTTTACGGTAATATTTACTGACGACTTTTCGATTACAACTTATTGCTCATTATCATACAAAGTTACACAACCTTTTGACTTCCTTTATATAATTCCATCATTTCTCATCTCTTGATTTGATTGGTAGTAATCTTTACCATATCTGTGGTATCATTACTATATAACACTGTGAAACTTTGTGAAGATAATTTTTCTGCATAATGTATTTATACTGTACCACAGTGCCCAAATTCTATTTTCATATTTTACAAATAGTTTGACAGCTATTCTGTTGAAAGAAATAAAATAATCAGATTCAATCTCTTAAATGACAGTGAAGGTGTGATGACAAGGTCTTCGTTAGGAAAATTTCGATTGAAAAGATGCCGATTTGAAAAACGCTACTGCACTTAGAGTGTACATATCCTCACTCTTACAAAGCTAGTATTTTCTAAATCTGTTTTCCAGTCTTCTTTTTAATTTATTGGATTAATTTACTTCATTTTATTTATTTGCTTTGTAATCACTAGGATATAAAAGGGACAATCAGAGGTCTACGTGAACTGAATCCAAGAAGATATGATGACAGTTATGGAAGTGTACGGATTTATCCTTTACATTCCAGACTCCCTACATCTAGTGATCGTTCATTGTTTGAGCCCCCACCAAAAGGCAAACGAAAAGTTATTATATCAACTAATATTGCTGAAACAAGGTTTGATCTTAATTTATTTTTTTCTTATTGAGAGTGTTTTCTGTTTTGTTTGCCATTGGTATGGATATGTAAAATCGTAGTGACCGAGTGTTTTGTTAATAGTTCAACTATGACCGAAAGGGTAAAAGTTAGATCCATGTGTACGCCAGCAGAATTTGATTCTTAAACAGTCTACATAAGGTGTCTAGTGTTAATAATAAAAGACTTGATCGGTAACTCGATGCAATAATTCATTTCCGTTGTGTAATCACCGTACAGTTTTTCCCTCGATACTTCTCTGGTGTAGACGTGATATCTGACTGTCGACCAAAGGACGTGTGTACTGCTTGGCAGTTCTCTCTTTCCTCATTTATGGCTGTAAGACATGGGTATTAAAAGTGTAATATAAGAAAAGGCTAGCTGCCTTTGGTCATAGATGCTTGCATTTTATCTCCCGTGCTAGGTGGTATTGTGGTGAGACCAGGCTGCTAGCCATTTGGTAGACATCAATCTTTGTCAATGTCACTAATATTGGTCGTGAGAAAATATGAACAAAGCTGATTCAACAACCAATCACAGCAGACTTAACGTGGACAAATATGATTCGCAGATAGATGGCCCCACTTTCAGAGGTTACCCGAAACAACCACTCAGAATACTGCGTTTGTCTACTTGCATGAGCTATAATAATGTACAGAAAATATATATAAATACGTGTTGTTTTCCGTAATAAAACGATCTGTTGACGGCCCTTTTCTTCTGTTGTTACAGTATAATAGGGTAAGCAATATTGAGGTTATGTGTCTAGTGCTAGATAATGGGTGGAAATCAATTGACGAGGTTGTGTAGAAACTGCATAGATTGAGATGGTTAGGACATTTGTTACGCATGTCTAACCATCGCCCTCCTCGACAGGCAATATTGGCTGACATGGGATCAGCTTGGAAAAGAGTTGGCTAGTGGTGATCAAACCAAAACATGGCTTCATCATTCGATGAAATCCACATCAGTTAGTTTAAGTCGGTCATGTAAGGAGGCGTAGGCTTCATTGTTGGCGTTGTCGGGATGGTAAAAACCAGTGACTGAAGACAATCAGAGATATGGCTCAAAATCGTTCTCAATGGCGTGGACGCATTTACTCTTTGGCTCCAATAAAATTCTGTTATTCTTCTATATTACTGTTCCTTCTTCTTGACATAAGTGTTTATTATCTCTTTTTTGAACCTCTGTTGAATCTCTTCTCTTGTTTTGTGTACTGCAAGGAGGGAGAGTGGTAACTGAAACTGCTGCACATCTGCGCGAAGTTCTATGTTGAAACCAGTCAGCCAGCTGTCCACTGTCAATCCAAAGTGATAGATTCATGTACTGTGTCGAACTTTATATCTCAGTGACCACATGTTGGTACTTGTCTTTATGCAGCATATTTTTCGTCTGCAATCATTTGTCTACATTTATTACGCACTTCATTTCTGTAAATGGCTGATAAGAATGTAAATGAAACCTTCGAAAATTAGAATTTTATCCAGTGACAACATCAAATCTTTTGATCTAAAATCTAACCATGTTTCTAGGGTGTTATTAACGTAACAAGTAATTCGTTATCATGCTAACTCTGTTCTTCTGAATTTTTTAGATATGTAACTTTCCTTCTTTTTTACCTTCAATTCTAAACACATTTAATTGAAATATTCGCTTTACAATGTATGTTTAGACGTTTATCGGCAAGTGTTGTTCCCGATAAACCGAAATGATACCATAAATGACAATCAAGAATTTGACCACGGATTGATATCAGTTAGAGAACCATTGAAAACCAGGGAATACTGGGATAAAACAGCTGTCTAGTACTCTCTGGTTTTCAATGATTCTCTAACTGGTATCAATCCGTGGTCAAACTCATAAAAACAAATCTAATCCTTACAAACCAAACTCTTGAAAATTAACATGATACTCGCTAGTGACTTGCGACAGGAAAGAATTTCCTGGAGTCCTAGTGAGAAGTAGTAATCAATAAGGTCCACCCATTCAGGAGTCAGGATGGAGTTCCCACCAATGATATTGGCTGGTGGTCGCGCTAAATCATGAATTTGTAGAAGTTAGAATTCATGGACTGGCCATTGAATCGGGTCCCAGTGGCTGAATGGTATACGAGCTTGCCTTGTAACCGGAAGGTCCTGGGTTCGAATCCCAGTGAGTGCTTACTGTCTATGATTCCCAAACTAGGATGAAACAGCAGCTGTCCAGTACTCTTAGCTGGTTTTCAATGGTTCTCTAACTGATATCAATCCGTGGTCAAACTAAAAAAAACAGATCTAATCCTTAGAAACCATACTCTTGCAGATCAAGAATCCAACCGTAAATACCTGGCCCTACTACTGATTGATTGTGATGAGTAATTGGATAGCACTCACATCAACCAGTAGAGCTTTCTAGGCAGATCGAAATTATTGAACTGAGTGGTATTCAACTGCTCATCTCAATCAACTAGTAGTGTATGGCATCATGCTATTTGATTAGAATATAGGCGTACCCGCGATTGAAAAGCATTTACTCATTAGCATTCTGCATTTCATACTAAACTCACTGACCGGAATTTCACTGAATAGCTTTTTGGATGTGATGTCAGATCGACGAAGAATTTTTTCTTTGTATATACATATATGTTTGTGTGGACTGCTTATATTGTTCCCGTACAAAATGTCACTGAAGCAACTTTTAGAGTATCCTTCATGAACATTTTTCTAACGGTGAAATGTTTAGATTAATATGAAGGGAATTTCTCGCTTAGTTGAAAACTGTAACATTAATTATTATTATTATTGTATCCTTTAGTTCCTAGAGGAACATAGGGCTTCAGCTGCGCACCTCCATTGACTTCGGTTTTCTGACAACTTTTTCACCCTGCTCCAGGTCTGTCCACATGCTTTCATCTCCTCCTCGCATGACCTCCTCCAAGTCACCCTTGGACGACCAACTCGCCGCCTCCCTTTCGGGTTCCACTCGAGGGCTTGTCTAGTGATGTCACTTGATGGTTTCCTCAGCGTATGGCCAATCCATCTCCATTTCTTTCTGCCTATTTGTTTCACAATCGGTTCCTGATTGGTTCGCTCCCAGAGATCCCTGTTGCTGATCTTTTCTGGCCATCTGATCTTGAGTATTGAGCGGAGACAGTTGTTAATGAAGGTTTGAAGTTTGTTTGAGATGCTCTTTATGACTCGCCAAGTCTCTGATCCGTATAGTAGCACTGACTTCACATTGGAGTTGAAAATCCGGATCTTATTTTTGATGCTGATTGCTGTTGACCTCCACACAGATTTGAGAGTAATGAAAGCTTGTCTTGCTTTTCCGATTCTGGCTTTGATGTCCTCGTCAGTTCCGCCTGTAGTTGAGACGATGCTTCCCAGGTAGGTGAAGGAGGTTGTTTCTTTCAGGTTCTTCCCATTTATGCTTATTGTGGTCTGTTGGTGTTGTTGATGTTGGCTAGGAATCTTCATCATCTCTGTTTTATCTATGTTCACGTGAAGTCCTATCTTTGATGCTTCTTCTGCCAACTTGTTACTTTTCATTTGCATATCTTCCAGTTTATGGGAAATCAGACATATATCATCGGCGAAATCCAGATCCTCCAAGTCTTTTGTGTCAGTCCATTTTATGCCTGTTCCCTCGTTGGTTGCCGTTGTCTGTCGCATTATCCAATCAATTGCAATCAGGAAGATCATTGGTGATAGTAGACAGCCTTGCCTCACTCCCGTCCTCACTTCGAAGGCTTCCGTAAGTTTCCCGTTGTGGATTACTTGGCATGCAGCATTGTCGTATAACTGTTGGATGAGGTGTATAATTGTCGATGGGACCCCGTAGTAGCGAAGTAGTTTCCAAATGACCTCTCGATCGACGCTGTCGAAGGCCTTTTCAAAGTCGATGAAGTTGAGATAGAGAGGTGACTGCCATTCCAAGCTTTGTTCAATGATGATCCGTAGAGTGGCGATTTGATCAATACATGATTTGTTTCTCCTGAATCCAGCCTGTTCCGGACGAAGTTTTTCATCTAGGGCTTGTTTGATTCTCTCCAGGATGATGCGACTTAGTATCTTGCTTGGAATGGACAGAAGCATAATTCCACGCCAGTTTTTACATTGACTTAAGTCTCCTTTCTTTGGAAGTTTGAATAAGTAACTGTTCTTCCAATCCTCGGGTACTTTGCCCTCTTTCCACACCTTCTCCAGTAGTGGTGTCATCAAGTCCGCTGTTGTCTCTGGGTCTATTTTCAAAGCCTCTGCTGGGATTCCATCTGGTCCCGGTGTTTTCCCAGTTTTAAGCATCTTGATTGCATTCAGGACTTCTGATTTCGTCGGGGGGTCAGTGTTCACTGGTAGTTCTGCTTCCGTTGTTGGTATTGCTGGACGTGTTGTAGGTGGCGGACGATTTAGAAGTCTTTTGAAGTGTTCAACCCAGTGCTTTCTCTGTTCCACCTCTTTGGTGATTGACTTTCCATTGTCGTCCTTTATTGGCTTAATCTGTGTCGAACGTTTGCCCGAAAGGTTCCTAGTTGTTTGGTAGAGTGTGGCGAGGTCTCCTTTGCCTGCAGCTTGTTCTGCTTCGTTTGCCATGGTTTCATAATATTTTCTTTTGTCTTCCCTGGCACTTTTCTTCACTCTTTTGTTCAGTGTATTGTAGCTTGCATTCAGCTCCTGTTTTTGTTGCTCGTCAGTGCACTGGATAATCTTTTGCTTCACTGTCCTTCTCTCTTCTATTAGTTTCCAAGTGTCCGTAGTGAGCCACTGTTTGTCCTGTCTCTTTTTTCTGCCTAGAATTTCTATGCAGGTTTGGCTCCACACCGTTTTCAAGTTGTTCCAGTGCTTTTCAACGCCGACCTTTTCGCTAGTGTTGATTTGTGTCTCGGCTTTGTCCTTTATGCTTGCAATGAAGATGTCCTTTGTAGCCTGGTCCTTCAGCTTTTGAGTGTTGAACTTGGCTTGTGGTCTATCTGCAGCTCCTGATTCCCTGAAAGCTTTTAATTTGATTTGGATTGTCCCTTGTACGAGATAGTGGTCTGAGCCAACGTCTGCTCCTCTTCTTGCTTTTGTGTCCAGTAGGCTGCGCCTCCACTTCCTTGAGATTGAGATGAAGTCGATTTGGTTTTTGGTTTGCCCGTCTGGTGACACCCATGTAGCCTTGTGGATATCTTTGTGCTTGTATACACTGCCACCAATCACCAGTTCGTTGAAGGCGCAGAAGTCGGCGAAGAGTTCTCCGTTTTCATTCATTTCTCCTAGAGCTTCTCTACCCATGATGAGTTCCCTTCCCGTATTGTCTGGTCCCAGTTTGGCGTTCATGTCTCCCATTAGTATTTTCATGTCGCCAGCTGGAGTATTGTCCATTGTTGCCTGTAGTTGCCTGTAGAATTCTTCTTTCTTCTCGAGGTCTGCGTTGTTTGTGGGTGCATAACATTGTATGATTGACACTTTCCTTCCTTTGGAGTTGAACCTGGCGGTCATTATCCTGGACGAAATCGCCTCCCATTGTATCAGGGCTTTCGTTGCCGTTGGTGACATCATGATAGCCACGCCCTCGGTGTGCGTGTGGTTATCTTCTGGGTGACCGGAGTAGATCACTGACTCACCTGTTGACAATTTGGTGAGTCCACTCCCATTCCATCTGCTCTCACATATTCCCAGCACTTGTATTCCGTATCTTTTCATCTCGTTGGCGATCTGGGCAGCTTTCCCAGTCTCGTACATAGTTCGGACGTTCCATGTTCCTACACAGACTTTTTCTTTTGGTGCAAGGAGGTTCATCATACTGAAGTTTCTTTAGCAATTTTTGTTTACAGGGTGGGGTTGCTAGCCTCACGCCTGAGAAAAGAATGATTACATTAAGTAAAAGTTTAGAGAGAAGCAACTTTTTGGGTTGCTCCCCTCAAAATCAGAAAATAACGGACAAACAATGAGAACAACATCAACAAAGGAAACAGTTCACAGAAAAAAGGGCAAAAAGCGACGACAACTATACAATAAGACAACATGCAATATAGTTCAGTACAGTTAACTAAAATGATATCTTAACCATAAACTCACTGACTTGGAGCAACTTGAACATATAAATCCAACAATATATACAATTATAGATGTGTTTATGTTTAAAAATTCCACAAATCCAAACAGTGAGTTATGTGTATTATCTGTCAATAAGATTGTATTTTTTGGATTCAGTGTTCGAAAGGTTAATAATTGTGATAATTTCCGCAAACTCTTTGCATAAAATTTTACAGTAATAAGAGTTTTTATTAATGAGCAAAATGTAGCGTAATAGTCGAAAAGTGCGCGCGTAGATTCCTGTAACATTAATGCACGGTTGTAATATTTTAACCGCTTCAGTTTATCAAATTTTATCCGTCAAATGTAATTGTTTTTCTTTTCAGTGTTTCAGTAGTTTTTGCTATAAATAAATTATTTTTTAATCTTTCAGTGTAACAATTGAGGATGTGGTCTATGTAATTGATTGCGGTCGAATTAAAGTAACCGATTACGATCCAATACAGAATACATGTACACTGACGCCTATTCTTGTTAGCAAGGCTAATGCATCTCAACGTTGTGGAAGAGCTGGCCGGTATGTTCAATACATTATTTTCTTTGTAATTATTGAACTATAATTTTTGAAATAAAATAATGCGTGTATACATTGGTTAGGAGTTAATCCTCATTATATTTCTTTAATGTAACACGCAAACCATAATTCAACGTTTCTTTTCCCAGTTAATGCTTTGCCCACTGTATTACTCCTTGTTTTAAGGCTATTGTTCTGAATTTTCTTGGGAGTTGCTCATGTGTGACCTGTTTCTACATCTTGCTATTAATTGACAATTAATTTAGCTTTCTACCCTAGTAAACGTTTCACATGATAAGTTATTATTCAAAGGCACGTATTTAATAATTTCCTTGATGGACAAAACAAAGTAATTTAGTTAACAGTATGCCTAAATTTATATATTCCTTTGGCAGTGTACTTCAAACCACATTTCAAACACTAGATGTAACATTTTATAATTCCAATCACGTAGTATTATATAAAAGTATAAATGATGGACTCTTCTACGGTTAGTTTCTTAAAAAAACTTAACTGTAAATCTCCACATTCAGCTAACTGATTACATGTGTAATTGCTAGTAGTACAGCTCAGATTTCTTAGAGTACGTAGAGTGAAAGTGGTCTCACTTATTGCTTAATCACCACCTCCGGAGACATAATATATAATTTCTTTTGAAGTATGAATTCCTTTAAGAATATAAGTGTGTCTATGAGAAAGTCTAACAGTCTCTGATTAAATTACTGAATAAGCACAATAAAACCGAATACATGATTGATATTACATACTGGTATTATGCTATACTGTTTTTAAAACGTCACAATTCCAAGGTCTTGCGTTATCAATTACTACAGCTATCCATGTGGTATATATGATCTAAGGAACCATAGCTAATTTAACGAGCCATTCGCGGTTTCACCGTTTTAAGGTATGTACTTAGACATGCATGGCTTAATCTCTTAGACAAGCATATGACTACTTGCAGTGATACACCCATTGACTGGCTATTGGTTTTCAGGAGAACCAAACACACCCATCCTTACCTCTTGCGAGACGAGACCGGGATGCAGGATCACCCTGTGGCGCAACCACTCGAGAGCCCTCTCCTTCGGTGGACCATTCGCACCGTTTGTATACATAGTAATGCATAGGTAAACACTGTTACGCCGATCATTGATCGCGTCAATCAATTATGCACTGCATAGACAAGCCCAATAGAACTCATCTCGCGTACAAGACTAGCCAAACGTATTAAATACTAATAATAATTTTTCCTTCACGTTCCCAGTGGAACATAGGGCTCCAAGCTAGTGGCTTGAAGTTTCTGTAGCAGTGTTTAATTTTTACAGGATGGGGTTGCTAGCCTCATGCCCAACCTTTCCTCTTTACTAGCATTATTTCTGGCTCAGTGAGGTAAAGGAGTGCGCCGGCCGGGGATCGAACCCCGGACCATATGCATGGTCGGCGAGCGTCCTAACCGCTATACCACCGACGCAGCCAAACGTATTATTATATGCAAAAGTAGCACGCATAGCAACGCTAAAGTGACAATAGGCCCCCATAAACGAAGCCAGCAGCCACCGAATTCAATGAAATCGTTATCCCTGCCAACCAATTTAGCATGCAAATAACTTCTATACGTCTACCAAGACTATAGAAAACCATACATAGTCATATAAGCGACCCATGAGAACCATTTAGCCTACGCTCATATCGTCTATATAGCTTATAATGTGTTTACTATTGGATTTTAAAGTGCGTCGGCCAGGGACCGAACCTTTGACCATGTTCATGATCGACGAGCAGCTTTTGGCTAAAACAAGGCTTACGAACAAAATGAAATTTTGGCAGATATGTTTTAGTGACGCGTTAATCATCTTATTCCTTATCACCCAACATGTAGTCTTTTTGGTGCTCTTAGGCATACTGTCAGCCTAACTTAATTATTTCTTTTCTCAGTTGTGGATTCAACTCAAATGTGGCATTTAAGAATTTGTGTATTAAAACAGTCGCGAATTTTCAGCATTAGTTGCATGCTTAGATTAGAAGCAGATATGCAGAAGTCAAATATTTAAGCGGATAAATATAATTAGTGAGTGATTGAATTCTAGCCCTGTGGCTAAATGATCAGAGCAACCGACTCAGAACCTGAATTTGTTTCGTGGTAGCGTATTAAGTGCGCATACCTGTGCATCAGTGGCACAGTGGTTAGGATGCTTGCCGACCATGCACATGGTCCGGGGTTCGACACCCGGCCGACGCAAACCTTGATATCAATGGTCGGCCTGCAAATTTGGGTTACGGATATCACATGCTAAAAATTCCATACTTGTACCAAAAATTCGATATAAAGTCAAGCTATAATAAAAAGAAATCCCAAAACAACTGTCTATTGTTCATTAGTTTCCAGTTATTCTCAAACTGATATCAGTTCAAAGTGAAATTCACGTCGGTATCAGCCGATTCTCTGAAAACTGAACATTGGAGTTAAATCTCAGCTGTTTATTCATCATATAAATATATTTGTCTGGTCATTTCCCTTAATTGCTCGTTAGCATGAAGGTTCACATTAATTCTCCCATATATATATATATATATATATATATATATATATATATATATATATATATATATATATATAATGCACATCATTCTTCCTTAACCTTATTCGCCTAACTCTTTTGTGAATATTATATAGTCAGTCGTCTGTTAGTACAACTTAATAAGACATCCAACAGTATTTTCAAACTGGTGATCACTTTATTACTATTCTTACTAATTACGTATAAAAAAGCCTTTGTTTGTATTCTCATTTTTGCGTGATGAGTGAGTTGGATGAGTTCAGTAATTTTGGTGTGGAACTCTGTCAAACCATCCACTGAAACTGTCATACATCCACTAAGTACACATTCATTTTCATGTTAGTTTCATACATTAGACGTAAAATTCTCAATAAAAGTGTTTAATATACCCACAAACGTTTTGTTATTGTATTGAAAATATTCATAAGAAGGTAGTGTCATTTTTGTACTGAATTTATGAACTCTTAAGATGTATGTTTATGTAGATTTATGGTAAGTTGCCATACATGAAGCTGTAGAGTAATATATCATCAAACCTTTATATATTTTTTTAAACTGGTTATAACCAGTTTATGAATATATTCATAAATGTGTCTATCGATTAGCATAACTGCACCTGCACATATATGCTCTTGGTGACCGTTTCCTACCTCTGTAAGGTGCTTTCTAGTAAGAGAGTGTAACAGTGAAAATGTGAACACCGGAATTAGTGATATTACTAAAGATTTGTAACTGTCTTAAAGTTGGAAACCAAATGAGGAATAGATTATGTATCATTATGATTTAGTAAAAATAATTCTAATTGTCAAGTATTGGTTTTGTATGGATTTTGTTTGATTGTATGGAGGATTTCATCATGAGCACGACAGGTCGAAGATGAGGCAGTAACTCATCGAAGAAGACATTGCGAAATGGTCGCACTATGTCATGAATTGGCAGAAGTTAGAATTTAAGAACCATTGGATCGGATCCCAATGGTCTACGAGCTCGCCTTGTAACTAGGAGGTTGTGGGTTCGAACCCCGGTGGGTGCGTACTGACGAAACAGCCGTCCAGTTCTCCCATGTTTTCCAGTGGTTCTCTAACTGATGTCAGCTCATGATGAAATCCTCTATACAATTCTTATTGTATTAATGTCATAAAAAGAAAGGATCAACAAAGTGACTGGATATAAGTACTGCTGGGCGGCATAATTATTTATGTTAAACTCGAAATTAGGTACGAGATGAGATGAACATAACCTGGTTGCTTGAATTTATGATTAAAAGTCTGCAGAAATTCTAACCCATACGCATTAAATTCATAATTTCATAGCTGATATTCCTTGTTGCTATTGTCCTTAAACCTTCATTTCGATCGTACTACATACCACTGAGTGATCACATGGGCAAACTGAATGCCTTAAAAGTATTTATTATCCTCACTTATTAGATTACGTAACATTATTTAATGATAGAGCATCCTCATCTTGAGTCAGATTTCGTCAATGAATACAAATCATTTAGAAAACCAGTTGAGACAAAGGAGCGGTATACATCTTTCGTTCTACTGTAGGACTATCAGGTCTTTCAGCGAGTAGCCAGTGGGGTCAGATTCCCTGCCCCATGTTTCCCTTATAGAACAACCGTCATTTAATGCTTACGAGGAGTCTTCTCATTGAAATTCCTGGACACTAAGAATTAGTACTTAAACTCTGAGAGATCTATTGCATAGTTAGTTACTGATAGGTGAATGATTGATCTTTATTTGCGAAATATCGCCTCAGAAAATTGTTTGGGATCATTAAAATGAAGCTGAGAAACTAAACTAAGCACTGAAAAGTACTGACATCTTGCATTAATATTTATTTAAAAGTTAACTCAGCTTTTAAAATAAGCTATTGTTTTTTTTATTGAAAGTACTTAGGGTTAATGTTTTTTCTATAAGACAGAAGAAAATCACATGCAAACTGTAAATCTGTCTGTAGGAGTGATTTGCTTATGTGCATTTATATATATTAGAAAAAATATTCTTGTTGAGCGGAACTTTCTCATAGTCTTTAAGTAAAATCATGGTTTGAAAGAAATTCGATGTACACAGAGATGTTTCTTTTCATTTTTGAATCCTCCCTCGTTTTTTTTCTAAATTTTATGAATGTTTTATATGAATATGTGTTATATGCACATTATAAATTCACAACACTACTGATTTGGGTGTATTTAAGTCATATTATCTGCATAAATTTTCAGTCATTCATATGTATTTTTGGTATTAATTCACTTCTGTTGGCAATAGTTTAATAAATGTTAGTTGTAGGATTTTATCATGAGCTGACATCGGCTAGAGAACCATTGGAAAACCGCGTAGTACTGACAGCTGTTTCATCCTAGTTTGGGACTCTTCAGTGGTACGCATCCACCGCAGAGGTTCAGACTCAGGATCTTCAGCAACCAACCAATCAAATCCCTACAAACTAATACTTGGAATGTTAGTTAGTCTGAATTTGGTTTATATATTGCAGACACACAAGTACTATTTCGCACTCATGCGACTGTGTTGTTGTTCCCTTGGGTTCCTAGTGGAACATAGGGCTTTAACTGCACGTCTCCACTTGCTTCTGTCTTCTGCTGTACTTCTCACCTACATCCATGTTAGTCTATACTGTTTCAATTCCTCTTCACACGATCTCCATGTCACCCTTGCACTGACGTCCCATTCGCCACTTCCCTTTCGTGTTCCACTCGAGCGATGGCCTGACGCGCGCGCGATGTCACCCAGCGGCCTCCTCAGCAGCAAGTGTCTAATCCATCTCCACTTTCTCCTGCATATTTATTGATTGACGATTGGTTCTTGTTTTGTTTGTTCATCGCCAGAGTTTCTTGTTGGTGATTCTTTCCGGCCCGGCCATCTGGTCTTCAGTATAGATCCAGCGAAGACAGTTGTTGGTTGATAAAGGTAGCGTCTGAAACAGTCTGTTGGAAATATTCTTTGTGACCCGCCCGCCAAGTTTCTCATACGTATAGGAGAACTGACTTGAAGTCTGTATACAGATCAGAAACTTGGCGGGTCACTTGGCGACTATATTTGTCCCTTATTGCCACAGTAGTTTTCACATATCTTAGTGAGGTTAAATAATTATACCAAAAGAAACACACTGCATTGGGAATCGGTTATCCGTTTAGTGTTTCTGTAACTTAGGGGAACTCAAATTATTTTTGTGTCAAAACTTCAGAAATCTCACCAAAGTGTCTATGGTACGCTTGAACTTGCTGTATGGTCATTTATTCCTATTCTTAATATCAAGCTACTTGTGATTTTGTGCCATCTGTTCTCTTCTTTATTCTATTTCCTATGAGATAGTTTGAAATGCGACTAGTCAGCATAATGTTACTGCATACTTACTGGCTAAGGATACAGACTACTACTCATTACTTAGGTTGTGATGGCATCACCCACTTAGCAATTGAATTATGATTATTAACTGTATCCCAATGCTGTCTTACTATGTTTTTAAAAGTTTTATAATTCATCCTTGTCTCCTGCTTTGGTCGTCATTGTCCCGTTGCTACCAAATAAATGTCTTTCAAATATTAACGCTTAGCAAATGTAAAGGTTATATTAGTAAGACATTCAACACACATTAGGCGACAGAACATTTTTTGGTAAAATTCACCTATCATCATCATCATCTCAATCATTTATTTCTGTTTATTTTTGTTCACAGTATTCAGTTTACTATAACGATAATAAAAATGCGATAAATTACACCTCAGTGCAGTTAGTTATTCCCCGTGTTTGTATTCAGTATCCTTTTATTTCACATTGTGGTTGTTTTGCATCAGTTAGATTATCGATCCTTATAATTTGTCCTTTTATCGGAGGTTTTTATGCATTCAATTTTTTCAGTTTGCATTAATAAATTCTACAGAATAGCCATGTGAGTGGTGAAAAAAAAATTGTTTTCAGTTGACCTCAAGTAGGACATGAATATTGATTTTTTTTTCTTCCTGTGAATATCCTACTAAAATGAAAGAGCTAATAAAAATTATATTTCATTCTGAATTTTACTAATGCTTTTTTTGTCATCCTGGAATTAGACATTAGTCCGAATTATTTATGCGCATGTTAAATTTACCATCTATCATCCCATGAATCGTCTTTATTTTAGCGTGTACCAGTTTCTAGTTTAACCAAAGGGGCTAAATATGTTCGCTTCAGGTCCCTAGATTAGATATCTGTACCTAGCAGTATTTTGTTAATTAGACTTACTGTAACTCAAACTGAGTGTTGGTTTGTTAACTGGCTACATTCTTATTTCTCAGGAAGAAAGCCCTACATTGTATGTAAGGAAAATACGTCCACTTCATTGCTTACTGAAGCTGGTGTCGCTCAAGGGGCTGTTATTTCTCCTTTTCTGTTTCCTTTCCTTTTGCATGACTTACCGCACTCTGATGAAATGAACTTTGTTAAGTATGCGCACGACCCAACTGTTTCAATGCCCTGTAACTCTCAGCTAGATTGTACTGAGATGAACAGCTTCTTATCAGGAGTCAGCAAATAGTCTTACACTAAATCCTTCTAGATGTCAGACTGTTAATTTCAGTTTCCGATGTAAAAGAAAGTTAAATGAAGCTGTTAATTCCTGTGACTGTTGCAAAATTGATGATGCTGGTGTAGAAATCAAGTATGACGTTAAGTATCTTGGACTAATTCTTTCTCCCGATCTGTCCTAGTCTTTCCATGTGTTAGCGATTTCTAAAGAAATATTTCGTCTGACTTCTTAGAATTAGAAGTTAAGGCATTCGGGTATAACTCAACCCCTCCTCTTACAGTTTGTCAATTCTTGCATCTTACCTATTCTTCTTTATTGTTCACCCTTATTCTTTCCTGGGTTGCTTAAAAAAGACTATGTCATACTTCGTAGGACTCTGAAGACTGTCCTTAGAATGAGTGGTATCCCATCGGACCATTATGTTGACATCATCATTGATAGGCGCTTGATTTCATGTAACAAATTTTCCCGAAGGGATTTTATCACACTGTGATTATCCACTGCAGCGCCCGCAGTTTTCACTTTGTGTCTCCTCAGGTAAAACAAGAAGTCATTTTAAAAGACTTAATGCGCGCACGTCTAAGTATAGAAATTCAATGACACCATATTTGCCACGAATTTTATGTGATGAAGATAGTGTCAGGCACGAACTAGCTAACCTTTCCACTCTTAAATAAACAATCTTCTCCATCTTTATTCCACCAAGCTTTACTGTTACTATTCATCTTATATTTATAGTCCTTTTATTTTTTTGATTCATTTTTTTCATAGGTGTAAACACCATTTAATCTCTATAATAACTGTCACCATCCTATGTCAAGCGAACACTAGATCCGATACTCTTAAGCATGCTAAAATCTTCATACTGTGTCGACAATGCTGTTTGAAACAAACAGACTATTATTATTATTATTATTATTATTCTCATTTTGTAATTTGCACACTTTTGAGATTATTCCTACTGTAAATTTGAAAACGTTCTTGGGGTTAATGTCATTGATGTTGAGTAAATTAGACGCAGTATTATGACAAATGCTAAAGATTCGATGTTGTTTTTGCAATGAAGCTAATTATTATTATTATCATCATTACCAGGATCTTTTTCTGTTGGTTGATAGATTGACAGATTAAGCTACAATGATCTTGTTCTTCCTTTTCAATAAAGTTTACCAAAGGTTGAATTATCTGAGATTTCTGCTTTAGGATATCATTTGACTTACTAAACAGTCTCCCATTTGATAAATAAGTTAGTGTAGAAATTATAGAGAAGATTTGCAGTTCAGCTAATGAACCATCCAGCTCAGAGAACACAACTACACCAATAATAATTGGTTTCATCACAAGTTCAAACGAACACTTCATTGTCTAGTAGAATAGACAGTTAGACGTATACTGTCTGCATTTCAATATCACCTCATTAAATAAAACAAAACTTAGACTCTAAACACAGTCTGCATTCTCCTCTATGCAAACAATTTATCTCTCAGTGTATCTATTCAACTACTTTATCGATAATTTGTTTATAGCATACCATTGTGTTTTATTAATCAGTTTAAATTTTGAAAATAACTTTTGTGTTTATACATTTTTTTAATTACTCTTAGTGTACAGCCTGGTATTTGTTACCATTTATTCTCAAGTTATGTTTACGATAATGTGATGTCAAGTTTTCTACAACCGGAAATGCTACGTGTTCGTTTAGAAGATGTAATTTTGAGAATAAAGGTAATTAAAACTGTCATTCATTGCGAGTGTATTGACTATTAGATGTTGCATAGGTTCTATTCACCAATTTATTAAACTCCCAAGCGTGTTTTAAGTGGTAATTGACTATTAGCTAATAATTAGTTTCCTATGTGATACTATATTATTTATTTGGACAATCGTACTCCATCATATTTCCGTGTTGAATGAGTTCCTGTCCACACTAGCTAACATCTTGCTATTTAATTAGTTTACTGTACGGTTAATTTTGTTTATTGCTACTTTTATTGATTGCATTGGTGTATTCCATGGTACTCATACCCGAAGCTGTTTTGAAATAGTTATCAGCACTTGTGGAGCCAGTTATATTGGCCGTTGCTCTAGGAACTTGATTTTTCGTGCTCAAGAACATCTCCCAGCATGGCTAAGTAAAGGTGTGGTGAAAACTATTAACAGCTCGATTTTGGAACATCTGGTGCAAACAGGCCACAAAGCCAGCGTAGATGAATCCTTCTCTATATTATACCGGGTGCCAAATAAATTACCTAAAACATCGAAGCACCACAGGCTCCAAACAGCAGAGGCTATTGCGATTCGCCTCAAACAACCAGCGCTCTGTATCCAAAAGAAGTAAGTCCAGCCCCTACTATTGCCCTGGCCTTCAGTAGAAACTATAAACTCATGAATTTGTAATATTATCCTTCCTAATTCTTCTGACATTCAGCTTATTTTATGTTGAATCGATTCAGCTGTAATCTATCAATATTATTGGTTTGATGTTATTTAAACATTAATGTCGTTCATAACACTAATTCATTCATTCCCCATAATGTATGTATAAATGTAGAGCCTGATGATGAATTTATCGAAAAGGGTACTCTTTGTTCAGTATCCATTCTTTTGAAAAATTTTAATGGGCATTTTTAATCAGTTATCAATATTCTTTGTAATGCCGTATTAGTCAGCGGAGAGGCAATAGCGTGTCATTTCTGATGCGGACAGAGAAACAATGGATTATCCTTTTATAGACATCTCTCACGTCTGCGTCATATATATATATATATATATATATATATATAATTGTTTCCTTTTGTAAATATGCTGTTACTTTCCTTCCCACATCGCTGTTTATCCTCCTTTAAGTAGAACAGGTTAGGGACACGTAGCTGTAGTATGCGCTGTTGGTGTTAGGTTGGGGATATTCGTGATCACCGCATCTGTCTGTGGCGTATGCTACTGGTAAGATTTATCAGTGGCATATAAAAAGACGTCATCAGCATAAAAACATCAAATAGAGGGAAGATAAATCTCACGTCACGAAAAGCAAATGATTCAGCGCTAAGGAGATGCAAGGGAGACGTGAAAGCAGTAGTGCAAGTAAACACAATATGAAGGACAAAAGTGGCACAACATGGAAGATCGGTGCAAATGGTGGTTTAGTGATAAGGTGTAGATAATTTCGCTACATAGAGGTACCAAATTGCAGGGAAAACATTCCTTTACTAAGTCTCTTGTTTTCTGTCCTACATGTCTAGCTCGGCGTGCCTATTCAGATCGATTTATTGTGAAGTGGCGGCAACATAACACTTATTTCCGTTCTTGTATCCGATAGAAATATTTTTCTCAGTAATAACTTTTCTGAACGCCTGATTTCACCAGGCAGATTGTTTAAGCGCGTAGTGTAATGAATTGATTCGAATCGGGATAGAATAGTTGGCTTATTTGTCTGTTTAGATTGTTTTGATATTAATCAGTAACAAGTGTATTGTGTTGAGTCCTGTCATTGGTGCAAACTGAATTCTATCAGTCACCATGCTAGTTAGCTCGCCATCACGGTGCACTGTGAGTTGTTGATATTCGGAGGTTGGACGCTACCGGCAGGAAACCTTTGACCTAAGTTTCATGCTAGATGGCACTCGTCAGGAGGGTGTATCTGTAATCTTGGAGGAACTCATGTCCCTTCTGAGATTCGAACCCCCGCCACCGAGTGCTGCCTGAAGTTCAAGAAGTTACCGTTGAGCTATTCAGGCTTGCAATTGACCTTCTATGGGACTGTACTGAATATTTTGATTGGAAAATAGTCAGTTACTAGCGTAACATGTCTGTCTAGTTTTATTCTTTGGTGCAGACTTGAATTCTGTCAGTCAAGTTTGTAATGTAGCAAGGGAGACGAGGTCGGTCAAACCAAACTAGCTTCACATACTACCTACTATTTCAAACAGCTGTATTACTGTATTCATTTTTATGTGTGTTTTTTATGTTTTCGTCAGTTGACTTAATTGTGATTTTACTGTATTTTGGTCAACCATCAGTTCCTAATAGTTAATATCTTATATTTCAAATGTCCCTGTGTAAGGTGAAAATGTTTCATTTAATCTATTGTCTCTGTCAGTTGAGGCAAATCATCCCATCTTTCAGTGTGATCAAAGAATTAGAAGTCGACTGTACTGGGTGTGAACTGATTTCCTGACACATCGTTTCTTCACATTTTTAAAATTTATCCTAAACTTCTTTCTGTAATAAGAAAGCTTGAAGACCTATCTATTGCTGTTTAATAATAATAATAATAATGGTAAAGCTTTATTTAAGACAGCATGCGAATATACGGTACAAAAATTTTCAGCGTATTCAGTTCCAAAGTACGTTTTTCTTCACACAAGATTCACATGTAAAGTAATAATGTGAAGTATATTCTCATTTCGTTGAAGAATTGTACAGCGTTTACTTGGGAGTAAGTTAAAACATCGCGCAAATTTATGTATAGGTCATTTGATATAACTGGACGATTAAAACAATGATAAATCCAGATGAAATTAAGCATTTTGGAGGAAAGTAATTTCGGTAGCCCAATGATTTAAGCAGGCCGCCTTATAGTTTCGGAAGTCCTTTGTTGCCATTCATCACCGAAGTCATATTGTCGAATAGGGTAGTGCCATTAATTTTACTTTTTCCAAATTTTACTACCATTATTAAAACTATAGGTTTTTCGGCTGTTATTATATTAAGTCTGATGTAATTTTCAACATATTCTCATCTTTTTGAATCAAGTAATGTAGTCAGCTACAGAAAATTTTCAAGTAAAATTGTGCTGTATAGCCAGTTGGTTCGTGCAAAAATTCCCGGTGTCCAGAATATAGTCGTACATATGTGATCAATAATAACTGTTGCATAAGCTACTTAGCTAAGTAATATTAAAATTATTTGCACATGTGACTATAGTTTCCATAATTTCACTATAAATTTTGTTACTATTGTAAAGTTTCTCAACTGTAGCTTTTGTTTTGTTTCTCATTCAGTTATTAGGTCTTGGACGAGTTAAGCCTTTCTTGACTAGTTGCCTTGATTCTCCATCTGAAGACGCTATATCACAAACAATAACTTTCCTCAGACAAATTCAAGCTTTGAAAGTAACACAGCCGCAGACACGCGGTGACATTTCACTGCAAAGTCATGGTAAAAATCATAAAGCAAATCGTAAATCATTAAGAGAATATACAGAAGCTGTTAAAAATAATGTGAATGCCAATGGTGTAGACTCTTTGGATCCATCTAGTCTTCAGCTAAATATAACAGATGAAGAAGATGACGAATTAACTCCACTCGGTGTACATCTTGCTAACTTTCCACTTGATCCACAATGTGCTAAACTCTTATTATTCGGAGCTATGTTTGGTTGTCTAGACCCCGTGTTGTGTGTAGCCGCATGTCTAACTTACCGGGATCCATTCGAAATACCTTTGGAAAAACAAGAAGAGGCTGATAAACGTCGATTAGAATTATCACAAAACTCCTTAAGCGATCACTGGGTGTATGCCACGGTTATTCAAGTGAGATTATTTTCTTTTATTAATTTCAAGCGTGAAATTCGGAATTTGATCTAATTTATCATAATTAAGACAGCTATTCATGTAAAACATTATTTTCTTAAGAAATTTATGCACACTTTCAAGGGATACAATTGCCGACTAATGGGTTGTAATCAACTATAATCGGTTAACCGAACTCATGTACCAATTTACTTAACCTTCCCAGCCTTCTGATTGCTTCCCAGATGGTTTCACATAATATTAAAAAGTATATCCTGACTAAACTACCTCACAGGAAACGATTCATTAACTAAAAGGAAATAAAGTGGAAGTTCTTTTCTTTGCAGTGTAGATGAAATCATAATTTTCAGTTTCGAAAATTTTTTTGAATTTATTAAGTACATGGTTCACATCGTTTAATAAAATCCAGGAGAAAACTGTTTGTAAATTTAAGAGATCTCAGTGTCTTTCCTGTCCCTGGTTAAAATTTTACTAAACCTCTAAACAAAGACATAAACGTAAAACTGTACACGGAGTGATCGTGCTGCAAAGATATAAGTAATTTAGAAAAAAGCTCAGCAATTGCAATGCATCCATTAACACACAACCACACAATAGGGTGGGAGAGGGTTAAAATTCTAAAAAGTTATCTAGATAGGTGGAGAGAGAGGTTGATTACTGAATCCTTGTTCATCGAGTCTACACCCAACACGTGCAATAGGAATGACTTATCACTCATACTGGAACTATGAAAAATACTACTACCAATCAAGTCGAGCGATGAAAAATAATGGAATTATATAAAACGAAGTTAGAAAGTTGTGTGAATACCTTGATATGATTATGAGCGATAAATTGTGCTCGAAAAATCAGTAAATATTACTGCATAACATTGTGAGAATTTATCAAAATAAATTTTACCCACAAGGGAAAAACCAACGAGCACAAATTGAATAATGCCAATTAGAGGTGTGTGTCTGTGTGTGTAATTACCAAGAAAATTTAGTTGAAGATTAGTCAATCTGTTCAGCGTTTAAACGATGTTAAGTAGCAAGAACATTTACACCACAGTGCTGTGTTGAACCACATGAACCCAGGTAATCAACCTATTCCTGCCTACGCGACTCAGATTATTAACCAGAGGCTCAGTCTATTGGAGATGGGAACGAATAATTCAAAAGATTTTAGATGAGTATTTTCCGCTTAATGTACTGTTGTTATGTTTTCCTATGAACCCTTTGAACTTTTTTCTAATTTGGCCCTACATCAAGTAAAGTTGCTTGTTGAGAAAACAGGTAGCTTGGTATGTGTTTTATTTGTCCCAACCACTTCATTTTGTGGGGGGTTACAGTCTTCAGTAATTTGGTTTAATAATTTCATATTGCATAAGTTTAGTCTTTACATTATTTAAATTCGTTTTAATGCAAGCAGTCGTATGAAGCCTTCTATACTCGAGAATGTGCTCCTTTTATGTTTTCTACATCTAGTAACGACGGACGATGGTTGTTAAATTCGACAGAGTATGCTGTTGCAGATTAAACTTCCTCTTTTATTGTTAGTTGGATCTGTCTACAAACTCAACAGATTAATCAGATTAACAAAAACCAACAGTACACTTCAAGTTTTGCTTTAGCTTTATTTATACATACATCTTGCTGTGAGTCGGTGGCTTAGTGGTAGAACGCTCGCCGACTATGCATGTAGTCCGGCGTTCGATCCTTTTTCAACGCATCTCTTTACCTCGCGAAGCCGGTGGTCTGACCGGTAAAGAGGGAAAGTTGCGCATGAGGCTAACACCTTCACCCCGCAAAAATAAACACCCCTCCTATTGAAACCTCAAAGCTCTACCTTGAGGCCCCCTATATTCCCTTGGGATGCAAAGGAATAAAAAGAAAACTGTAAAATCAGCCCGTCTAGTCAAAACTATTATAGATAGTCTAATCAACAATCTGTAAACCAATCTTGAATTTTGTTTCTTTTATTTTACGCATAACATTTTGTAGAACTATCAAGGACTAGATTCACCTTTCGAACGTCGACAGTTCTGTCAAAAATACTTTCTTAACGAACGTACAATTAAAGTAAGTACAGATACTACTTGTCATTTCACATTATTTTAGCTTTTAATTTGATTTTTGATTGATGTTGAATTTTTTTTTAAATTTTATTTTGTTGGATTCATCTGTCTCTCTTCACATCATGTGTACTCTTTTCAGCACTAATAACTTAATATTTCTATATTATCATCATATGATTTGATAACCAAGTTATTAGAATTTATTATTAATACCGTTAACTAAACTGGCATTTTCTTTACTTTCCTCATGAATCTGTTAATGAATTATGCATTTTAGTATATTTATTCAAACTATTTTAAGTGAGATGAAGTTACTGTTAAGTTGAATCAATATGAGATGAAGTATTCTAATTATATCAAAAATATTTTTGCCTGTTGTTGTTGTTGTAAATATGCTGCTCTGTTACTGTCGAGCTGTTCACATGTGTGGGTGCTTGCGTGTACTGATCAGTTACAAAACTCGATCATTTCTATTCATTTTTGTTTTGTAAAGCCTCATCGTTTATTAAACTATAGTGAAGAATTTATTTAGTTGACAGTATTTCCATAGTATTAGAAACAAAAGATTTCATATATAATGGTGGGATGTTTAGAAAATGCATCGATTTTTAATTTGAATTAGTTGTGTCTAGTTCTCAGTTATTTTCACTGCTTTTGCAAATAACGTAGACTTTTGTTATAATTTGCTTTTGTTGTTTTTTAATCTCAATTACTCGGAACAGATTTTTCATTTACCAGGCTAAGGGCTACTAGTAGTTTTGAGGAGTAATTGTACTGCCCATTTTCCCAGATTCAAGTAGATGGAGTGGGACTCGAACCCTTGACCCCACCCATCTCAGCTGAAAACCTAGTGCTAAAGCCACTGTGTTTTGATTAAGCATCATGAGCGACAGGCAATTTTAAGTTGTCATTGTTGTTTTCGTCTGATTTTTGTAAATCTGTTCATCATTACGTTCAAGTAAAATTATGATATTCACACAAGAGGTTTTCTTTTCTTTACGGCAATCAATGTGATGTTTCTATGAAAGTTCACTTTATGATAAGCTATTGATGAAAGCATCAATAACTACAGTTGTCATTATATTTAGAAAGGTTAGACGTTTCACACATCATAGTTGTTCTGATAAACTTTACATGGCGAGCCTTATAAATACGCAAGATACTCATATTTTTAATGCACATAAAAAGGGCTTTGTGTCTTTAAATGATCTAAAACACCTTGTTGGTATTGATATTTTCAAAATTAAAAAAAAATTTTTTTAGTAGAAATCAATTAATTACAGAATGTTTTCCCACACGTGAAAATCATGTGTTTCTGTTAGAGCTGTATAAACACATGTGGTAAAATTTGACATTCTATGATTAGAAAACTAAATATATTTTTGTTTAAATATTTTGTTTATTTTTTATGAACAATAACCTAGCTACGGGGATTTAGTAGATTCTGTAAAATAACTGTACATATTATCCAAACTAACGACACACTCTGGAAGATTCCTAGATTATCACTCATCTCATCCTCTCACGGTAGAATGAGGATTAATACAAGGTCTTGCAGACAGAACACGTAGACTCACAACAACACCAGAGAACCAGCGTAAAGAAATAAACATCCTATTCAAAATATCACTCGACAACTACACAAAAGAATTTATCAAAGATAATATAGAAAAGAGAGGGTAAAACTGGAGAATGACAAGACGCAAGAATGCAAAAAAACAGTCACAATACTATACATTCGCACAACGTTTAAACCGACGAATCTAATTAAAAATAAAATAAATCAACCGAAAAATCCCATAAAAATGATGGATAAAAACGATGTGATTGACAAAATATCTTGTGCCGAATGTCCGACTAGATATGGTGGTCAAACGTCCAGATCACTCGAAATAGGAGTGAATGAACATAATGGCCTAACTAAAGGTCAACCAACAGGAACACAAGCTTACAAGAATTTTGAAAAAAATTCATTTGAAATAATTCATCTATAGCTGCACATGCATGGGACAAATACCACAATATCGATTGGAACAATGTTTGTATTCTAAAAACTAATATGAACAAATGGAAAGAGAGACTTATAACAGAATCTATATTAGAACAAGACATATAAGCGAACAATATTGTTTTCAATTAGATCTTCTTCAGGCTTTACTCTAATTTACATAGACTTATATATATAAAATTTTAACCAATGACGGTGATTTTGTGGATCAAATAATAATAGTAATCATAATAATAATAATAAAAATCATAATAATAATAGTAATAATAATGTGGTAAATATTTTGAACGAAGTTAATAGCGATGATTATAATAATAACAAAATATTGTTAATAAGGCTTATATAGGTGATAAGAATAACAAAGTTAGTATATGCATATATGTAGACAATTCAATAAATAAATAAATTAGGTCAAATCAAATGGAACGATAATCAGAGTTTAAATAAATATCATAAAAGTACGAAGGAGAGGGATGATAAGAAAGGGTGGGAGGGTTTTGAATAGAATTCACCTAGGCCAAGGGAGAGACAAAGGTAGAACAAATTTCTTTTGTATACAAAGACTAGGATTGTTCTCTCGAATTCCCATAGCTTCGGCTAAGTGTAAAAGACGGGTTCTGATTCCGTTCGAAAGACTTGATGGAATGCGGTAAATAACTTTGAAAGCACTATTTTTGTCCACTTGGTGACCACTATCAATCAAATGAGCCAAAATAGAACTTCGTATGGACTTTATTTGACCTTTTCCGAACCATGAAGGAAGATGCTCATTAATGCGTTTGTTAAGCTGTCTAGTTGTTTGGCCTATATAGCTTTCTCCACAGGAGCAACTAAATTTATAGATACACATGGAAGTGGCACAACTAGGTAACTTATCTTTCACTTGAGCAATCAAAATTGGCCGGCTGGAAAATGACAAACAGAGGGTGGCGGCAGTATAAGTCCGTTTTATCGCTCTCGATAATCTCTGATGTAAGACTTCACTAGCCACGTCCCCATTAAATTGCAGTTTCATGAACAGTTGTTTCTTTTTAACTGTTGTCGGTTTCTCTTTATTGTACTTAGCATTCATGTGTCTCCTGACAAATCTACTAGGATAACCCATTTGGACTAACGTATTTTGGATGTATCCTAGCTCATTCTCTAGAGATTAGAGTAAAGCCTGAAGAAGATCTAATTGAGAATCTATATTCATTAAGGTCACATCGGATACATGTAACAAGGGTGACTCAATACAACTATCAACAACCTGGAATATAAATCTGAATACACAAAAATGAACTATATTTATGAGTACAAATCATAAACGTGTGAATAAAAAAACAAAACAATTCCAACAGTGGTGTGAATACGGACAGTAATTTTGCTCGAAGTATTACCAATATCATAACTTATCATTGTGTGTAAACCATTGAAATATAATTATACTTGAATATCAATGAGATGCTCACTAGCGACTTGCCCTATTCAGGTAGGTGGTTACTTGGGGTTCTAGTGAGAAGTCGTGACCACTAGGGTGCAGCAGGTCGGTTGTGGGGACAAATACTCGCCGAAGACATTGGCTAGGGGTCGCGCTATGTCGTGAATCGGCGGAAGTTAGAATTCATGGGCCATTAGATCGGGTCCTATTGGCTTAATGGTCTACGAGCTAGCTCACCTTGTAACCAGACGGTCCTGGGTTCGAATCCTGGTGAGTGCGTACCGCTGAAGAGTCTCAAACTAGGACGGGGGAAACAGCTGTCCAGTACTCCCAGGTTTTCCAACTGTTCTCTAACTAATGTCAGCTCACGATGAAATCCTGTAACCAATCAAATCCCTACAAACCAGCACTTGGATAATTATACTTTATTTGCTCTATTCCACAATGCTCAAACCTCTTTACTGACATGAATTCTATTAATAGCTCTTAAAAATAAATTTGAGCAAGTAACTAATTCATTTATTGATTTACTCTCCCATTAAAATAATGGAAAAAGCTTTATTCTGATAATCGATGAAAAATCAGCTTGATTAGCGTGTTATCTGAAGTCTGTTGGTCCATTATAATACGACACGTCATCGGAATTTTCTAGATTTCGTATCTGACGTTAGGTGTATAAATCAGAAGTTCGGTCTCCATTAAGTTCTAATGCACGTCTACAGTTATGAGTTCCCAATACTATGTGTATTTCTAGACCCTTGAACTCCATCAGTTCAACGGTTGCTCTAGAGTCTCTACTGAGCTAATTTCTTATGGTGTCTGCATAATGTGGTATCCGTCATAGATATTCACTCTGGTCTTACTCAGAAGTGTACAAGACATGGTTGCTATAAATCTTTTTCCCTTCATGTAGCTCCTACAGAGTGATTCATTGGTTGACTTTGACCATTCAGATGCCAGAAATTGTTTTATGCAGATATTGGAAAGAGTCTTCTAAACCCTTCTTGAAACAACATACAAATGTTAAAGGATGCATTTCTCGGTTGTCAAAACACTTTTAGTTGAACAAGCGATGTAAACAGAAGTAAATGTTTATATACAATGATATTTTTATAAGTTTATGTTAAAAATACTTGATTTAAAGCGTATTTAATAAGAGTTTAATCTAAAGTGTAGCTATTTTTTTGTTCCCTCATATGGCAGCACCACTCGTGTACTGTAACAGAGAATTATATCCTACTGTCGTTTTCCAAAAACCTGTTCATTGTGCGATAAATAGACAAACTTTATTTCCGTTAATTGTATTTAGTTAAATCTTCGGCACAAACGCTGAACTACAGTCCGTAAAGTCATGATCGACTTATCACTAATCCGAGTTTGTTACTATTATGATAATAGGGAGTCATAAAATCTGGTAATTTATTATATTAGAGTTGAGGTGATAGACTCTGTTTATTAACTGCAGAAATTTTTGACGATATGGTGTTGGGCTTTAGTTATGATGCATTCACTGTTTTACTCTGTCTCATTCACTTGTTTTCTACCATTAACCATTCTTTCTCACTCTTATACTTGTCAAACTATTGATTCTCTTCACTCATCTTCTTGTCTACCTCTGTGTGCTATTTGGAACATGGCAACTCGAACTGCTGCACTTCGGTGCCAAGTTCTATGTTGAATTCAGACCAGAGAGAGAGACAGTGTGTTTGGTTTTGATTCACGTTTCTGTTAGTTCATTAAATAAATTACCCAACTGAACTTTGTGTTCATACAGGTAAATATTTATGGTTTCTTTGATAATATGTGTAACTTTATTGAGAAGATATAGTGTAAATAAGTCCCATATGAGAAAATACTAGATGTCCCGTACCCTTTCCCTTTAAAACAAGTTAAGACAATTTAATTTGTGGATGGTGATTAGCAGTGGAATCAAGGATGCGCACTTCATCCTATTTTGGACTCGTCAGCTGGATGTACCTGCATTTCCCAGTAAGTGATGTTGTTCCCACTGAGACTCGAACCCAGTGCCCTTAGTCTAGTGGATAACGCTTTGGCGTTTGAAACTAAGGGCACTGGGTTCGAGCCTCGGTGGGAACATCATCACTCACTGAGAAATGCAGGTACATCCAGCTGACGAGTCTCAAATAGGACGAAATGCGCATCCTGGATTCCACTGCTAGTCACCATCCACAAATTAAATTCTAATTAAATGCCCAGACATTGTCGAAGCATCTGCACGAGAAGCCGACATTCAACCTGAACACTTTGGTCCAATCAATCGACGGGAAAATCTCAAATTAAATTTCAAGTTAAGACAATATTTAATATATTTGACAGACAATAGTAGACAATAGTAACGTACGAGAAGACGGTGTTCATATCAAATGAATATGTATGCTGGAAAACTAATTTTTATGTCATATTGACAGTTTATGACCATATTCTATAATGATTTACTCACCAAGACTTTTTGCAATCGTCTCCCAGTCAATAAAACTTAATGTCAGTTTACGGCCTATTGGTGGTAAACTAACTTCAAGATTTAATAGAAGTTTTAAGAAAACAGTTACCCACAGATAACACTAGATGATATTAGCATTGCATCGTGTAGAATCTGGAGACAATCAAGCTGCCTAGCTATTAGTGGACTAGTAATATAATCACAACCTCCGACAGTTTGAGATTTTGATGTCTGTGGGTTGGTAAGCACTCAGGGTTGAAGGATCTTTAGACGACCCCAAAAACAAGGATTAAAAATACTTTTTGACTTTCTATGGTGTTACCCAGATGATATTTGTTTGTGTAGAAATCTATTGGGAAAATTGATTTCCACACCTGATGAATTATTGTCAATCTTCATTTCTACACTGCCCTCTTTCAACAGCCTGCTGGGAAAATACACAGTAGTGATTGTTTGTTGTAATCAGTTATAAAATACTTTTTTTAGGCATTCGTTTATTTGTTTTTCTCTTATTTATAGGATATAATTCGATTAATGCAGGATTATGCATATTTGCTGTATGAACGAAAGTATATTGCAACGCCCAAACCGAATGACACGAATGCAAATCGTAATCAATGTAAGTCTTTCGAAAAGTATATTCATCTGTAGCTCTTCTTATTAAGCAAAACACCAAATTTGTTGGTAAAACTGAAGATGAGTCCATGATTTATCGTTGTTATGTCCTAACTGATATTACAGAATATTGGATTTATTCTGATGAGAAAGAAATATGATCAGGTCATTTTTATTCAATTATATGAGAGCAACACATGTGTACAGTGGTAGAATATAATTCATTGTCTGTTTGTTTACTTGCTTCATTAGTAAACACTAATACAGTGCTTAATTGGTGGATGGTAACTAGCAGTGGAATCCAGGATGCGCATTTCGTCCTAATTGGGACTCGTCAACTGGATGTACCTGCATTTCTCAGTGAGTGATAATGTTCCCACCGAGGCTCGAACCCAGTGCCCATAGTTTCAAACGCCAAAGCGTTATCGACTAGACCATAAGATAACAATTTCGCTTTTATTCCGGAAACAGTACTTGTGGTACAGTGTGGAATTTTCAGCACATATCTACAATATTGCATCTAATTTCATCGTACATTTAAAAGGAGTATTACAAAATAAATAAATATAAAAAAACACAACAAAAAACCAAAAAAGACCACTTGGGCCACGAGAGCCACCTCTTGTGCAACGGGTTATATTAATTTAATTTAATTGTTTACCACATGTCGTTTCAAGCCACTATTTAGTGCTCATCATCAATGTCATCACTGAACTGTGGAAATCAGTTTTGGTAATTTTACTCTGTCCTTTTTTTTCTTCATATTCTCCAAATATCTCTGTGGTAATAGGTGTTGAGTCGGTCGTATAAAATGTTGATTCTATAAACAAGGTTCCACTTAATCATATTAGACTTTGTAACTTCTGCTCTCTTAATTCATATAGAATGATTATAAATCAGTGCATTCATTTTCATAGCTAAATCTTCTCTAAATTATTATTTTACCGGGATTTATCGATTTACATTGAACTAAATTTTTTTCTCCCCATATTTTCAATGACCTCAATCGACTAATTTGACCTGTATACTTCAACTTACAAGTGTTATGTGATTTATGTAAACTAAGTTAATTATTTCACCCTACAATTTAACAAGTAAAGAGACTAATGTGCTCAATTTGAAAGCGTAGTTTAACTCAAAAGATAATCTGCTATACAGCTGTTACTGAATTAAATTACGTGTAATTTAATGCTTTCCTTTCGAAAGTTTCTCATCCAGCAGAACAGGTGAAAACTGTATAAACGAAAATCAATGAGTAATTTGAGTTTATTATTCAGAGATTGTAATTTCATTTGTGTAACATACTAAAAGACGGAGAAAGCTTCCATTTTTTCTTCTACTTGCACACTGAGTATTTCCATTCAGGTATATGTGTGTTATGCTGGTCCTTTTGTTAGTTACGTAATGACGTAGAAGACCAGAGACTTGGTAAAGGAATGCTTTTCTCTGCAATTTGGTATCTCTATATAGCCAAATTCTTTATACCCTATCTGCAAATCACCATTTTCACAGATCTTCCGTGCTGTGCCACTTTTGGACTTCATGTTGTGTTTACTTGTGTTGCTTTCACGTCTCCCATGTATGTCTGCAACTCTGAATCATTTGCTTTCCCTAATGTCAAATCTCTGCGTGCTATTTGATGTTTTAATGTTGACGAACGTCTCTTTATATACCACTGATAAATTTTATCAGCAGCACATACCACAGTTATGTCTAATAATGTTCTTCTTAGATTCGAAGCCTTGTAGGTTGAAACTCCTCAGCGACTTCATGTTTTCTTTATAAATGAATTGCTTTTTTTCTATTTATGTCTTAGCCTACTAAAGTAATTCCTTTTTACTGTAGGGAATGTCAATCTTTTCCGAGCTATAATGTGTGCGGCATTATATCCAAATATCGTTAAAGCGGATCCAAGATTCACGTAAGTTCTTGATGTTTAGTGATACTTTTCTTTTCCTATAAATGACTGTTCAATTACGTGAAGTAGTATCAGTAACGATAAGGTGTTATGAGTATGCGTAGAACTTTTGGAAATGTGAGAGAGAGAACATACTTCCATGTTTAAATAGGTTCATTTGATGTAACGCATAGCTGTACAGCGTTATGGTTTATGTGATATTTTAATCAGAATGTTTTTTTCCTGACAATCATATTAATGTATTTACGCGACACTTAACTTGCTTTATGTAATTCTATCTCTCCCTTTTTAAATATGCGACATTCTTGATCTATTTATACATACTGTTACTTCCCTTCTCACTTCGTTGTGTATTCTCGCTTAAGTAGAGCGGGCTGGGGAAACAGGCATCTGTCGCACAACGTTGTTGGCGTAGACAAACGAACAACAGCGTTATCACTGCATTTCTGTATCCAACTCCGGCATCCCTATCCAACATTCAACGTTTTATTTTTCCAAAATGTAATAACTGAGTTATGTATGTCCAAACCAAGTTCACTTTTAACGGTTTGATAAAATTTGGGCATTGGGTATATGATATTCATTATAATAAAAGTTTTTCATTCATTGGGAAATACAAAAACCTTTATTATACTGTAATAACTGAGCATCGAAATTCAGAAAACTGAGGATAAATTAAATTGTCTAACTACTCAGATAAACTAAAGAATACTTGGTTAAATCTTACTGAACTCAGAGGTACAGTCTACAGAGGACAGTCTAGCTGCTTATCTATTTATCTCGTGAACAGTTTTTTTCACCTCTTTCTGTTGGTTATTCTTGAAAATATCATGATAAATATCATGTCTTATAATAAATAGTTGTTAAGCAAAATACTTAATGTAGAGCAAGGGGTGTAACTAACATAATAATATTAATAATAATTCAAAGACTTTTACTGTAAGCTATCATAGCTGATTTGTTGATTGTTTAAATGAAGTTTTAACGAATACATTTTGTGGAAAGAATTGTCTGTGCCCTACAAAATATATAGCTATAGCCGCTACTATCGCATACTGCTAACATGTATCATAGTTTCATAGATACTGAGTAGATTTCTACGTATAATTACTGGTGAAGTGCAGGGATTGTTCTATTTATGAATTATGTAAGGAAATTACTAATTTAGTACTTAGCTAACTGTGTACTAAACTGATGCTGATGGAGCGAAGTTTTATTTTGTTTTCATCTTATGCATAACATAATGTCAATTGCTGTCACAAATTATTTAAATTTCCGCGTAAACAAACACCAGTCTGCAAATCGATTCACGGTAATAAACTTCCTATGTACAAAACATGCGACTCGGATAACATAATGTTGAACAATACAACGGGGAATAGACATACGATTAGAGACAACATAAGAACTAACTAAGGTTTAGTAAATTTTCAACAATATGTCTATTAAGGGTTGAAGTTCTATTCAGTATAGCTGTAATGTATTGTAATATCGTTGTATTTTCTTGGGATTTCTGAAAGGAATTAAACAGCACTTCATCTTTAATATTTTCAGGCTTTCCTCCAGTACTGTCACTATTATTTTGATGACGCTGAACACGAATCAAACTAAATCCTAATTATGAATTCTATTTTTTTTGCTTTGCTGTCTCTTCCATTATGTACTACTATTATCCCTATCACCGATTTACATCGTTTATCCTAACCATATTATAATTATACCCCGAATCGCTGAATTCAGCAAATATTTAAGTTTTTCTAACCTTCTTTTTCCTTGTTAGTATCTAATACAATCTAACGTTTTGCATAAGTTTTGAGTTTCTTGAGATAAATTTCCCGAAGTAGTAAATCGTTTTCTTCGGCTATACGTTGATAAAAAGTGTTAATTTGTAGACTGTACAAATCTAAGTTGATCGAGGTCTATTCAGCTTCTTTTGTCCATGTCCACGAGTATTAATTTAGATATACAGTTTATTATATAACCTCAAAGTATTCCAAAGAAAACTTGATATCAATTTATAAGACCTTTCACGAGCTTAAACTTTCCTCAGTCCTCTTTTAGGTTTTTGCCCATGTACAGCTAGAGCTTCGGCTATGTATAAGTGAAGAAAACGTAGGCTTTTGGAGTGATTTGATTTGATCCAGTGGATAACATTAAAAGGATCACTGGGGGCCTCACGTAATTTATCCTTTAAAGTTGTCTTTTTTTTATCCCTAAATAAAGCATTCAGAAGACGAATGTTGTGAGCTGATATCACTTTATAGTTTCTCTACAATCGTGTTACAATTGGCATGGTTTAACTATGATAAAATATCAGACAGTTAATTATGTGAAAATTAAAAGATACATTAATAATCAATTGTGCTTTAATAAAAGTTAAGTAGTCCAGGGTAGACAAATCCTTGATCTCGTTAAAATATTCCGATAAACGTGATTAAATTAGGTAATAAAAGTAAAAACTCACTCGTGACTACCACCAGTATTATATATGATCCATATTAGTTGTATTAGAAAATAGATTTTTCAAAGTACTCTGTGTTTGCCTCCTCTAACTTCTAAATGAACACATTCTTCCAACAGGAAGAGGCCAAGAGAGTTTCCAATTTCAGCATCATCTATTTGTTCGTGTGCTTCCTTTTGGAAGTGAAAATCTACCACTTTCTGTTCATGTTAGGATGACTTCTAATATGAAACTCATTGGTAAAATGCAGTTGAATTTCATCGCTTCTTGTGTAGTTTCTTCGTGAAATAAACCAAGCATATAATCTTTCCCTTAATGTCCATGCTATCAATAATGTTAACTAGTTCTAATGGACGTTTTATGAAATATATGGAGTATGTTATGCGATTGTAGAGAAACTACCAAATCAATCGCTATCTCGTAATATTTGTTTTCTTGCTGAGTTTAAAAATCAGCAGTTGAGAAAATTAGGTCATACACCTACTTTGTTATCCTGTTGTAACTGTAAACGCCCTATAGTTCTATACCTGCTGTGAATACATCTCTGCTTGTTACATACCTTCACATAAGACAGGGATCATCTAAACTGGTTCATCATATCAAGAAACTTTGACTTTCATTTTACTGTTTCAAAACTGGATTGACAAATAAGCCACCTGTAAAGAGTGTGATTCAGATTTTACTATAGTTTCTTTTTTCCTTGCTGCTATAGTAGCAGTTTCTTTTAAACAACTAATGTCTGTTTATATCTTCTCATACTTTTGCTTTTCAGTAAGGATGGTCGACCTAAACAACCAACTATTATGGCTTGTCCTTCTGAGGGTAGAGCTAGTATTCATCCTGCTTCAGTAAACAGTAAACTTCAACCAAATGAACCATTATGGATGGCTTATTTTAGAAAAACAAAACTTGAATTGGGATCTGTAAGCTGAAGTTTATGTGGATAAATCTTTCATTTGTTCAGTTTCATATTGTTTTATAAGTTAGGCTTTATCTCTTATGGTTGTGTGTTGGGAATTAGGCATCCATTGATTTCTCCACTTATTTGGGGTGAAATCAAATACCTTCAGATCAAAAAATGACGTCTGTGGAGATAAGGCATTGTAATTAACTTGATTTCGGGTATCATCACAAATTAATGTTATTCAGAGTGACATTGAAATTTTAAAAACACTTCATTATTTACAGCATTTCATAATAATAATAATAACAGCTTTATTCCAAACGGTATTTGTGGTACAGGTATGGAATTTTCAGCGTGCATTACAGTATATTGCATCTAATTACCTCATAAATTATATAAGATTTTTAAAAATCAAAGATAAATAAATAAAAATAAAATAAATAAGTTATAAATAAATAAAATAAATAAAAATTAAAAATTAAGAAAAAACAGCGTAGAGTATTTCATTTCAAACAATGCACCACAGGATTTGAAATATAAAGTTGATGTGTGGTAGAAGATGAGAACAACAGTGTAATAGTAACGAGGTGACATCGGCTAGAGTACGTTTGGAAAACCTGGGAGCACTGTATAGCTGCTTCGTCCTAGTTTGGTACTCCTCATCATTACTCACCCACCGCCAGGGTTCAAACCCAGGACCTTCTGGTTACAAGGCGAGCTCGTAGATCATCAAGCCACTGGGACCTGATACAATGGCCAGCCCATGAATTCCAACTTCTGTTAATTCGCGATATAGCACGACCAGTAGGGAATGTCATCGGCGAGTATTAGTTCTCACACCCGACCTATTGTACACTTTTCTGTATCATGTTTTATGGAAGTTATGAAGCAAGTGTTATGCGTCACAGCAATTGTAAATAAGGAGAGCTAAAAATATTTCTACATCTATCTTCTGACACAGTAAAATGTCAACTAAAATAGACAAAATGTCTAAAATTTACAGGCAGATTAGTGTATTCACATTGTTGTATTCTTGAAAAGCCAACTTCCGATACGTAGAATTTCACAGATTTGATGCAGACATCGATACTATTACGCATAAATCACTCCAGCAGTCAGAGACGTAACTATTTCACTATAACCATTTTTCTACCTCTTTCTTTTTAAACATAATGACACGATGCAACAGACATGAGATTAGCTCAATCAGTATATATTTTAGCATAACTCTACGATACTAGTTCACTTACTGTCATATCGGCTCATTTGCCTTGAATAAATAAAAAGCTTATGTATCCTTCATTTACATATGCTCTGATGACTTTTCTAGCACACAGCTATCAAACTAATTTTCTCCTTCAACACAAATTTGATAGATTTTTTTCAAGTTAGAGAACCATTGAAAAGCAAGTGTTACTGAACAGTGTTTTTGTCCTAACTTGCGGCCTCAGCGGTATGCACCTACGACCCGTCGGGATGGAACCCAGGCCCTTAGGTTGCCATACAAGCATGTTATTCATTCAAATGCTAGGACGGAGAGTCCAATGGTCAATTCTAACTTTTACCAATTCACGATATATTCCGCCAGTGGCTGATGAACTCTCCTCGTAGCCTGAATGCTCTGGATTCGATCCATGGGCGCTGATTAAGTCGAAAACACTGTCTAGTATTTCCTGGTTTTCATCGGTTCTCTTACTGATGTCACTTCGTGATTTAACTGAAAACTAATCAAATCCCTGTTAACCAACATTTGAAACTATTTTTTTTTGTTCCTAAATACAATCGATTTACACTAGATGATGGTAACATCTCCAGAAGTTATAAATGTCCAAACCAAGTTCACTTTTAACAGTTTGGAAAAATTTGAGCAATGGGTGTGTATGATATTCATTATAATAAAGGTTTTTTGTATTTCCCAATGAATGAAAAACAAAACGATATTGTTTTACTAACGTTTTGCTATTTAAAGCTAATAGCTTTATCAGAATATTATCAAACGATGAAATGACAAAGTCAACTTGAATGTGATTAGCAATTTCATTATATAAATACACGCTGCTCTTATAATTTTATACATTTATCAAATCCAACAATCCACATACCTAGTTTTGTCATCTTTACCAATTGGCCATCTTGACAACGCAAAAATTACCCAATGCTGGGAAACGATGATTAAGTAGTTGTTCTGTATAATCTGAGATTTTGTAAATTCTGATTTAATAATACTTTGATAAAGCTATTAACATTCAATAGCGAAACGTCAGGAAAAACAATATCGTTTTGTTTTTCATTTATTGGGAAATACAAAAGAAACAACAACTTTATTATAGCGTGTCCATAAGTTCAAACTAAAATAGGCATTCATCTAGCCGTTGTATGTGTATTCGTAGTTAATAATGATGCAATTAGTATTCTCTACTGGGGGTATTGATCAGATTTCATACGAATAAACAGTACAACAAGTTATTAAAAACTGTTTTCTGAGCCGACTTTTCAAGTGTATACAGACGTATCTCTTAGTATAAAGGTGACTGAATAAATATTTAACTCAGTTAATCATACTTATTTAGTCCTCAAAAAAAACAGTTTTTTTTAAATAAATAGTTGGCACAAAGTTCTTCTTTTTGTAGCGGAGAGTAATACAATATGCTACTGTCTATCGTAGGTACAACAATAAATGTCTTCTTACAAAAGACTCAGAAGTGAAGCGTAAACTAGTTGTATTTACATCTAAGTTTGTTCTGTATGTGCACACATATTCATCTGTTTCTAGATGACATATATATATATATATATATATATATATATATGGATATGACTGGTAGAAAAGTATTCATTTCGTTATTTATTCAACGTTATCTCTATAACTAATTAATTTTTCTGTGATTAAATATATGCCAACAAAAAAAATTAGTTGAACCACTGATCATTTTAGCTCTTTTTTTAAACCTTCATTTGTTTAAATTAAGAGTTAGTTAACTGAAAACCTTGGAGCTAAGTGTTATTCAACTTTGAACCAGCTGGTGTTCTGATATTTAAAACCTATTTCAACTATGTGCTGAAATCATTTACCCTTCCAGTAAGCCTGTAGAGTGACAAAGTTGTGAATCGTTGATGGAAAATATTCCTCCTAAAATTTGAGGATAACTTTAGTAATAAATGCCAAAAAAATGTAAAATCTAGATTCATGGTTTATTGCCATTTAACACTATAAATAAAGGTCCAGTGTGTTGTACATCGATGTCGTTGTAAATTACTGACTATATTTCATACACTTGATCGATGAATGTCACCCGAGACTTGATGCATGAAGATTTACCTCGACATATGTACTCACATTCAAAGCATACAAGCGGTAGTAGTGCTACTAAACTGCATTAACTGTGAAGTGGAATCCGAACCTGTAATTCTCAATTAAACTCCTATACTGGTACCCCATCATAAACAATGACTAATAAGCGGAAAAAACAAAACGACTACACGCTTAAAATGCCATCCATTTGTTTGTGTTTCTCTCGACTAATTTATTTTGTTGAGAATGAAATGGAATGACTTGAATTCAACTGAATTTTATTTGGTTACAGGATTTTCATCATTAGCTGACATTAGTTAGAGAACCATTGGAAAACCTGGGAATACTGGACAGCTGTTTCGTCCTGGTTTGGGACTCTTCATCAGTACGCACCCACTGGGACGAAACAGCTGTCCAGTACTCCCAGGTTTTCCAGTGGTTCTCTAACTAATGTCAGCTAATGATGAAATCCTGTAACCAATCAAATCCCCGCAAACCAACACTTCAATTTTATTTGTATACGTTTCAAAAGTATGTTATCCCTGTGGATTTTGCTCACTCACTGTACAACCTGTAGTATACATATTGTCTGCTTTTTTCTCTCAAACAGAGGCGAACATCACTTACAAAAAAGATTCCAGTGTATACTATCTTTATATACTAATCTCGGCATACACTTGCGTTGAAATTAATTTCTGTACATGAATAGTAGTCTCTATTACACATATAATCACCTACGTAATCTACAAATGTTTAAAGGTGTAAGGCAGAAAAGCACTTACTCTCGTCTTCTTTCTTTTCTCGTTTTTCAGTGGCCAACAATATTTGATTCAACTGTCATATCATTAAGACCTCTATTGTTCTTCAGTAGAAATATAGAAATAACAAAGGTAAGTGTATTTTATTTTGAAGTAGACCTATTAGTTTGTATTTACTATTATCATTGATGACCTGTACATTGTTGTAATTGTTGAATGTATATTCATAGTTGCAATAGTTATTCTCTGCCTACAGGCCTCTACACTAGTTATTTGTTATCATACTTGCATTGAGATATTGGTTCACTTTCTTAAGTGGGCCTAATTGAACCGCTTACTCCTGAAAATGTGATAAATGTTTGACTGTTTAGAGTTCGATTAAATGGAGGATTTCATCATGAGCTGACATTAGTTAGAGAACCATTGGAAAACCACCAGGGGATACTGGACAGCTGTTTCGTCCTAGTTCGTGACTCTTCGGCGGTACGCACCCACTGGGGTTCGAACCCAGAACCTTCTGGTTACAAGGCGAGCTCGTAGACCATTAAGCCACTGGGACCCGATCCAATTGTTCTTGAATTCTAACTTCTGCTAATTCACGACATAGCGCGACCATTTCACAATGTCTTTTTTGATGAGTTACTGCCTCATCTTCGACCTTCTGTAACCTACTGATGACGGCTTTCTACTAGAATCCCAGGTTAACTGCCTGAATAGGGCTAGTCGCTAGTGAGCATCAGATTAATTTTCTAGTTTTGGTTTTGTAGGGATTGTGTTTGATTGCATGAAGGATTTCATCATGAGCTGACATCAGCCACACCATAGAATGCAACATTTACAGATAATCGAATAGGTATTAAATTTTGTAGGGGGATACTTGCGTGATCTCATTATCGACATTTGTTTTAGGTGAACATTTTTTGCAGAAATAGCTTTGTGCTCTATGCAACTTGCTGTATTGAACAGTTGTCAGTTTTTATCAACTTAGCACAATTGCTAAACGTACATCAAAAAATTATTCGCTCTATATTTTTGAAATTATTCAGACGTCCGTCATCTCATTTGATATTTAACATGCATATAAACATATTTTTCATCCTAAGGGTCAGTAACACTCGGTTTTGAATCATCATTTACGCTGTCTCTGGCGTAGACGTGATATCCGGCTATCGACCAAAGGGCGTGTGTACTGCTCATTAGTCCGCTCCGTCCTTCTTTATGGCTGTGAAACCTGGCCATTGAGAGTGGAAGACATGAAAAGATTAGCTGTCTTTGATCATAGATGCCTGTGCTCCATCTCCCGTGTGAAGTGGTATAATAAGGTGAGCAATATTAAGGTTAAGCGTCGATTGCTAGGTAAAGAAGGGGAAATCAATCGACGAAGTGGTGAAATTACATCGACTAAGGTGGTTAGGACATGTGTTATGTATTCCTAGTCATCGCCTCCCTCGACGAGCAATGTTAGCGGATATAGGGTCAGGCTGGAAAAAAGCTAGCGGAGGTCAAACAAAAACATGGCACCAGTCAATGAAACCTACAACAGTTAGTCTAAGTCACATAGGAAGGTGTAGACTTCCAGGCTTGGGGTCCTCGGGACGGTAAAAACCAATGGTTGGAAACAATTAATGATATGCCTCAAAATCGTTCTCAATGGCCAGCGCAGATGCATCCACTCCCTGTGACTTATGATTTCCAATGAAACTATATTGTTCTTCGTTATTACTCTTCCTTTGTCTCACACCTCTGTTTACTGTCTTTATTATGCATTTCTTCTGTCGCTTTGTGTGCTACATGGAGTGTGGCGACTCGAACTCTCGCACATCGGTGCAAAGTTCTATGTCGAAAACAGACAGAGACAGACATCGTACAATAGTTAGTACTTATTTGGACTTTTCAAGGAATATAAACAATTTCATGAGAATATTGTTCATCTTGAAATATATTCATATAAAGTTGAAGTAACCATTTAGAGCATAGGTTAGACTGGTGAAACCGACTCAGTAGTGCAATAAAAATACTACCAGATCTCCACCTCCTTTGTATTCATCTTTCAGTAGATACCATAGAATGAGTGAAATATCCAGGTTCTATTATCAGAATGTTTGTTACGCATGATGTACCATTCCTTTTCTTAGTGGACTGTTTCAGAATCAGAGTAGGCCATGCTAGACTTAAGCATTTGGATATCTCCTACTAGAGAAGTCTGAACTAACTTTCACATTGTAGATTTCGTGGTTAAAATTCATGAGGTATGCAAAATCGGTAATGTAGAGTAGATAAGTAATGTAACCATGAATCATTCGCGCTTACTTGGATATACTGTGAAGATCTTTTGTGTTTGTGATAGGACTTCCCTGTTGGTTTTCTTGTCGTCATGTATTCATCCGAAGTGTATTACATTTTTAAGATGACACGCTTACTCTGTTTAATTTCTAATATCAGGACTCATTACTAGAAATAGAATAACATTCAACATAACCATGTATGTGTAAAACACCATGGAAAAAAATAATTAAATTGTTTTGTTCTTTTCTACAGAATGATACTGGTCTTTTCACTATTGATCAATGGATTAAATTCAATGGAGAGATGAAAGTAGTTAACGTACTGAAAGTAAGTTTGTTGATACTCTTTTTCATTGAGGTAGAAAAAAAGTGTAAAGTGGATGACTTGTGAGAAATTAGGCTGTAACATTAATAAAAATGCCAGACTTTATTCAAGTAATTTTTTGTCTTACTTCAGGTAATTCCTAACAACCTCAGCTCTTTCACTTCCTGCACTTATTGTGTTATCACTCAGCTACGGGAGTGAAATCTATTCACCCATGTTCCTATCTATCACCGTCATAATGCGACCATTATTTGTCGACACCGTTAAGTAGTACGTAGCACAAAATTTTATTTACCATTCTGTGAGCACACCTGTAAGAGTTTATAATACCATCCCGTTGCTGATAGTTAATCTGACAGGATGTGATTCAGATCAGAGGCAATTTTGTCTAACTTGCGAGTACCGAGCTAGTGTTTCGTCTTATTTATACACTTTAACAGCTTATAACCAAAACATGACGAGGTTTAAGCCAAAGATTTTCAAGTTGAAGGACCAGTAGATGTTACATGACTTTAACTGTAGAATATATTGAGCTTAGGATTCACGAGTACTCATCAAGATCAAGGGAAATATTCTTCATAGGCAGTGTCTAGATTTTACTCACTGCATTGAAATTGAGGTAGTTGGTTTATAAACATAGAATTTAGAAAAACCAAAAAAAAAAATTGAGCAAAGAATATCCTTTTCGGTTATTGTCTCTCCTGGCTCTACAATTATATGTATGTTTACGTACATAGAATGTTCTAGAATAGTCGGTATTAACAATATTGGTGTTTTTAAACATTATCGATCACTGGAATTAGTTCACTAAAGAAGCATAAATTATAATAAGCGTAAAAATGAAATAGTATATAGAGTATCAAATAAAATTAAGGAAATTTCCACAACATCACTAAAACCTTGATGGCCAAGGTAAGGACAGTGACTGGACCAACTTCTTTTCGATACATAGGTTAGATTACTTAGTGTGAATCCCAACGGCCTCGGCAGTAAATAGTAGACGAACTCTTAAGGTAAAGTTAAGATTACTTGGTATGCGGGTAGATGACTTCAGAAGCCTCGTTAACATCAATCTTGTGTTTTGCATCCACGAGATGAGATAGAAGAGAGCTATGAATGAATTTCCTTTACTTAACCACGCAGGATGATGTTCGGAAATTTGACGAGAATTCCATCGATCTCAATTAACAAATCGATAGTGTTTAGGAACACCATTACCGTTAATGCCGACTATTCTAGAATATTCTATATATATATATATATATATATATATATATATATATATATATATATATATAATTGTAGAGTCAGAAGAGGAAATTATCGAAAAGGATATTCTGTACTCAATCTTTTTTGCTTTTCTAAATGTTCGAATAAACTAAAGAATATATCTGTATACTTAAAGTGGGACTTCTTAGTTTATCATCTTCAAAAATACATAAAACAATAGCTAAATGTATTTTTGGAAATTACACTGGTGTTTTATTTTATGAGCAATAAAGATATAATTAAGGTAAGGTATGCCATTATTGCCTAATGGTCCAATTCTCCACGTCATATCTTCACATCAAATGATTGACGAATCGACGTAGGACTTAGCACAGTAGTGTCTTGGCTATCACACCTCAAACATTCATATAAAGAACATAATTAAATGAAAGTTAATGACGATGTTCGAAATCTAGAAAAACGACAGAGAGAGTAAAACATATGTGCCAGTGTGAACAGTTTTGACCCGAATGAACAAAAATCTGCACTCATTGATTCTTAGAATTCTGAGGACCTCAGCGTGACGGCCCATACCTCCCGGATACCTTAAAACAACAGCCATGATCTATAGGGTGAGGCTATATGTTGATCTGATCGCCCATAACTCGTCTGCAACCGAATTTTATTCAGTTGACATTGCTTTTCGAGAAAAATGTTGGCTACATAACACTGTTACTATTTTTCCGAAAGAAAAAACACAATAAGGTAACTGCAGTCTACTGAAAGATAACATTGATGAGTTCCTAGATTTTTGAAGATGTATAGTTGGCAGATAATATTAGATTGTGCTCCAGTTCTACAACTTTTCTTTGTTATGTTACCGATAATGCGCATAACACCAGTAAGTTTAAAATAGGAATCCCAGTTTAACTAGAATAATATGAACGAAATATTCCCATATTGAGTCATAAGAAAAAGGCACAAAGAGCGAAGAAAATTTTCTTTTCGACGATTCATTTTCATGAGCTGTACAATCGTAATTATAATTAACACAGAAATTTTTAGACCAATCAGATACTGGTAAACTTTGTCCTTGAAAATTCTACTACATAATGTGAGGTGTAAGAAGGGATGACTAATCGTAAGTTAGAAAGGAGACAGAAGTTGGCATGACGTAATAACTATGAGATAATGACTAATGAATAAGCTGGTGTAGAATGGACAGGAACTAGTGGATAAATCTGTATGAAAGAAATGTTATTAATAAAAAGTAATAGAGTGGTAATAAAATGTGGATGATGGGAATAATAATGATAATAAAAATATTAATAATAATAATAGTGAACTTACATAATGAAGGAAAAAAGCAAAATTGTAGTAAGAACTTAACTCTGGCCATGATAGGGGGAGAGAATGCATGTATCGTTTTTGTTATGCACAGGTCTGGTTTTAGGTCTCGAATAGCTAATGCCTCAGCTATGTACAGATGTCGTATCCGGAGTCCTTTTGTACGATATTGAGGGACTCTGTGTACCACTATGAAGCATTCATGTAGGGGTGCTCGATGTCCGGAGATGACAAGGTGTTCGAGGACTGAGCTGTTGCTATTCTTCTTTTCTCCTCTGGCTAACCAAGCTGGGCAGTGTTCCAGGATGCGTTTGTGGACTTGACGTTTTCGTACGGCCGAATAATTTGCCCAGAGATTGCTAGTTATGGGAGAAGACGAATATATTGGGTGGTAAACGTAAATTACCAAAAATTAAAATAACTAATCCCTCAGATAAATTTGGATGGTGTTATTAGAAGACGGAGATTATCTGATGGTAACACTTAAATTTTCACAGCTTTTGTCCACTACAGTATAAGAGAGGCTTCGTGAAATATTTATTCAAGAGGATTCAGTGTATTTACCTGGCTAATGATATAGGGAAGGAAAACAAAATACTGATGGATACTCTTGTTGAAAACGCATATCCTTTAGAATTCTGAACCAGATGTAGAAGTCACTTGGTCTTAAAACTTGCTATGTATTCCACCCGGCCGATAACTGCTACCTTGTCGTGGTGGTCGGGCTTGAATACCGCAATGACCCAACAAGCTGAACTGACTGGGACTCTGTCTCCACAGGTCCTACCATGTCAGGAAGGTTTTCTGGATAGCGGTTAAACTAAAAGCAGTTACCATGGGGTACATGGGCTCCAGTTTCCAATCGGATCAAATGGCGTATGAACCCACATGGGTCACCGGCAACCATGGGAATGCAGCTCCTGACGCTGCTCCGCTGCCTTGCGGATTAGACTCCAAGTCAAAGGCTCGGGGGTGGTCCCTTAATAAAACCACCTGCTTCGGTCTGGGCGCCCGGGCAGTATCTCAGCCCGCACACAATGAATGAATTAAAGCAACGAACTCCCATTGAAACTCAACGCGCTAGTTAAAATGATTCCAAGCAATATTGATCCCTCAAGGAACTTATTTCCTTCCTACCCTACTTTTATTTTTATACATAGTTTCCTGTATTGTACCTTTTCTAACCTTGGCTTCTTAACCTTCGACAGCCTTTCGCCTTTGTCGAGATTCCCAGCCTATCCGTGTCGTTTCGAGATGTTAGTGAGTAGTCCTCAAAATGGTTGTTCCCAATGTGACATCTAACACGGATATCCTGAAACCGCGTGCTGCGTTCAAGCTGGCTACCTACAATGTTCGGACGCTGATGCAAATCGGACAACAGGCAGGGTTGGCAAGAACTTTGGAAAGCCTCGCTATCGATGTCTGCTGCATTTCGGAGACCCGCATTCAAGATCCCAGTGAAGTGCTTCGACTATCCTCTCCATCTGGAAGTTCTAGTAGTATGTACCACCTGCGCTTATCCGGGGACCCTGTGGCGTCGGCATCCGGCGTAGCTGGTGTCGGTGTCGCACTGAGCGCTAGAGCCGAAGCTGCACTGCTCGACTGGATTCCCATTAACAGTCGTTTATGTGCTGTGAGGCTGGAAGGTTATACGAAAGTAAAGAGTAGTAGGCCAGATAGGCGGTGTCTATTTGTTGTCTCTGCCTATGCACCGACGGATTGCAGCCCGGATGCAATGAAGGATGAGTTTTACTACCAACTGAGCGATCTCTTGAAACAGGCGGGTCGGAGGGATATCGTAGTGCTGGCTGGGGACTTGAATGCACAGGTGGGGCGTCTAAGCTCAGAGGAGAATCGTCTAGGTGGTCAGTGGGGACTACATGGTCGCAGGTCAGATAATGGGGACCGTCTTCTGCAGCTTTGCGCGGATCACAACCTATTTCTAGCTAGCACCAACTTCCGGCACAGCCATCGCCGTAGCGCTACCTGGCGTCCTCCCTCTGCGAAGCAAGCTTGGACTCAGATTGATCATATCGCGGTCAGTTTCCGGTGGCGAGGATGCATACAAGACTGTCGCTCCTTCTGGAGCACATGCCTGGACTCCGATCATGCGTTAGTGTGTGCCAAGTTCGTCTTGCGATTTGGTGGGGTTCGTAAAAGCCGTCGTCTAAGCGTTGATGTGAGCAAACTAGTAGCACCTGCTACTTCTTTGAAATATCAGAATGAGTTAAAAACAATGCTTGCCAGCAACCCCCCAAGTAGTATAGATGAACATTGGCTTCATGTGCAAGGTGCCATGCAAAAGGCGAGTGTAGCCGCTTGCGGCTTGAAAGAATGCTCCGCTAACAACCACTGGGTTTCTGCGAGTTCCTTGCAACTCATGGATGAACGCCGGTCCATTCCGGCTGGCAGCGAATACAACAATCAGCGAAAGGCGCTCACGCGCAAGATTAGACAGTGTTTACGTAAGGACCGCGAAGCCTGGTGGTCAGAACGTGCGTGTGAGATGGAGTCAGCTGCTGCATCTGGCAACAGTCGGAAGCTGTTCCAACTCATACGAGCCACCGGCAGCAAGAAACAAGGTGTCAGCGAGACGGTCTGTGAGGCAGATGGCACTCCAATTACCAGCCTGAAAAGACGCCTGGAACGCTGGGCAGAGCACTTCGGGAAGCAGTTCAGCTGGCCACCAGCTTCAGTGTCTACTATCATTAGCCCGAGTGCTCCTTGGTCGGTTAGTACCGACCCACCCACCGAAGCGGAGGTCCGTAAGGAACTCCAAGTTCTGAAACGCCATAAGGCGCCCGGCCCAGACAAATTACCCCCGGCTCTTTTTAAAGATGGTGGCGAGACTCTCACAATGGCTCTAACTGGGTTGTTCAGGAAGGTGTGGGAGACAGAGAGTGTACCATCAATGTGGAACGAAGCCATTATCGTCCCCATCTTTAAAAAGGGTCGACGTAATTCGTGTGACAATCATAGGGGTATCAGTCTGTTACCAGTCGCGTCTAAAATATTGGCTGCTGTCTTGCTTCGCAGACTGTGCAAAATACGTGAAGGATTGATTCGCGAAGAGCAGGCTGGGTTTCGTTCAGGTCGTGGATGCATTGATCATGTGTTCACCCTTCGTCAGTTGTTGGAACACCGCCACACGTATTGCAGGCCAACGATCGTTGTGTTTCTTGATATTAGGGCTGCCTTCGATTCGTTGGACAGAACTGTGCTCTGGAACTGTCTGTTAGAGAGAGGTGTACCTGAGAAATTTGTTAACATCCTGAAAGCCCTATACAGAAACACCTCAGGTAGAGTGAGGGCATACAACCAACTATCACCACTGTTCCCAACCAACAGTGGGGTTAGACAGGGTTGCCCAATCTCTCCATTTCTCTTTAACTTTGCCATCGATGACATTCTGGAGTCAGCTCTGAAGGATGTGCGTGAAGGTGGTGTAGATCTGCTACCTGGAGATAGACTTTTCGACCTCGAGTATGCAGACGATATCGTCTTACTGTGCGATAGCATGCAGGCTGCCCAAATCGCACTTAATCAGTTGGCGATCAGTGTCTGTAAGTATGGTATGTGCTTTGCGCCGTCTAAGTGCAAAGTACTGTTACAAGATTGGCAGGAGCCTGTACCTGCACTCACTCTTGCGGGTGAACCGCTTGAAGTTGTTGATAAGTTTGTGTACCTGGGTAGTTGTGTGAGTGCTGGCGGAGGGGTGACGGATGAGATTTCCAACCGTATAATGAAGGCTAGGGTGGCATACATCAACTTGAGCCACCTCTGGCGCCGTCGCGACGTTAGCCTGGCTGTCAAAGGTCGGGTATACAATGCTTCGGTGCGGGCTGCCCTGCTCTACGCCTGTGAAACCTGGCCTCTCCGAGCTGAGGATGTGCGGCGACTCTGCGTGTTCGATCACCGCTGTCTCCGCAGGATTGCTTGCGTTCGATGGCATCATCGCGTGAGTAATTCTGAGGTTCGGCGGCGTGTGTTTGAACAAAGTGGAGATCACCATTCATTGAATGTCGTCATCTGGAAACACCGGCTCCGGTGGCTTGGACATGTGCTCCGAATGTCACCCCAGAGGCTTCCGTACAGGTCTCTGTTCGCTAGCCCTGGGACGGGATGGAAAAGGCGGAGAGGTGGTCAGTCCATGACGTGGCGTCGTGGGATGAAGGATTTTTGTGCTAGATTAGCATCGGTTGGTGTGTCACGACTCCCTGGTTGGGGTCCGAGAGATAGCTCAAATCGATGGCTCGAAACGTTATCGGATATGGCCAAGAATCGTAATCAGTGGCGAATGTGTTGCGATTTCCTTCTTTCTTCCCTTCCCGATGATAGCTAACGAACACTGTTTGAACTTGTTAAGCATGACTGTTTTCCTTCCAGATGAAGTTCTTTATCCGTTCTCTACTTATATATATTTTTTCTTTTCCTTCCTTCCTTTTTTTTGATCTATGTTGTTTTATTATTATTGTGTGGCGCATCTTTCTTGGTGCCATATTGTACCAAGTTTTTTATGCGTTTAAATAATAATAAATAATAATAATGTATTCCACACCTAAGAAAGATATCTTCACCAAAATTACTGTACAATAGGAAAATAAATAGTATGATTTTGAGACAGAGATTAAACTTGGTCATCCGTAGGACTTATCATGCAATCTGGCTTGTTATCATTGAAAAAGCTAAAAAAAACATGCTCCACTACAAACCTCAAAGCTGTCACTTCCCACACTATTTGCTGACATTTTTAGGAATAGGACTGTCATGTGTAAATTGATGGCTGTTAACCAGTTTATATCATGTTAAAGCGTTTCTACCCTCATCTGTGTATCCGTTATGTGGTATATTTTACTATAGGTTGAGTTTTCATATATGTTATATATATAATTTTTCCAACATTTGTATTCTCATATAATCAATATGCTTAATTTATTATAGGATTTACGCAAATGTATGGATGGATTATTAGAAGAGAAATTTAAATGTCCTAGCCTCACTAATTGGGATGAAACAAGTAAAGAAGGCCGACTACTTCAAACCATTGTGGATTTGTTAACTAGTGAACCTTTACCAGCTATTAATTTGCAAAACTCCAATAGACCTAAAATTATTCCCAAGAAATCGTTATGAAAGACTCATCAGTCATCCGTGCAATAACTTTTCCTTCTCAGATATATGTTTACATATTTCTCTCAATAACTGTATCATTAATTTTCTCTCCATTATGTATATACGTATATAAATGGGTGTGATCATTTTCTGTCAAAATAACGAATGTGTTTGCTAATTTTTTAATCAAATGTCTGATTGAAACAAACAAGGTACGAATCACTTGAACTGTGTAGTTGCATTTGTACGATACATTTTAAATACGCGTACTTGTTGAGCCTATTTACACAAACATCATATCATATTATTTTACTATAGTTCCATTAGGTTCCGAGTGGAACTTAATGCTTCAACAGTACATCTCCACTTTGGCCTATTCTCTGTGGTCCTCTTTAGGTGACCTCACGATTGCTTATAATCTCTCATCTTCTCCTCACTCGGTATCCTCTATGTCACTCTCAGACGCTGAGCTTTTCGTTTCCCTCTCAAGAGCCTGGCGCGCGATGTCACTCGACGGTCTTCTCAGTGTGTCCTGTCCATCTTCATTTTCGCCTATATATTTGTTGAACGATAAGTTCTTGGTCAGTTTGTTCCCCTAGTTTCTTGTTGCTAATTCTTTTTGGCTATTCGATGCTCAATGTAGAATGAAGACAGCTGTTGATAAAAGTGTGCAACCTGTTGGTAATGCTTTTCGTGATGCGCTGAGTTCCTGAAGCTTATAAAAGAACTGAGTGCACATTGGTATTGAAAATTCGAACTTAGTTCTTTATACTGAGGGAAGAAGCCTTACGGATTTCAGAGTAAAGGTTATCTGTCTTGCCTTTCCGATTCTGGTTTCGACATCCTCATCTCTCCCACCTGTAGTTGGAACGATATTGTCTGGATAAGTGATTGGTGCTTGTTGTTATTGTCGCTTGGGTGGTTATTTTCACCACCTCTATCTTTTCTATTTTCACTTGAAGTCCTATCTTCTCTGTTTCTTCAGCAAGTTTGTGGGTTTCCGCCTGTGGTTCTTCTAGTTTATGGTGACATTAGACATAAATCATCTGCGAAATCCAAATCTTCTAGAGTCTTCAAAGCCACTGGAAACAGACCACTCAGAAACTGAAAGACAAAACTGCAAAAGAATGAAGCCGTCAAAGCAAAGTAGGAGATACTTCGTGGCATCACTGAGAAAGCCTGTAAGTAAGAACATTGGAACTTTCTAAAGGTGATGTTCAAGGAAACGTGTGGAGCCGTTATACGAAGAATGTAGAAGCGAGACAAGGAATGGCTTTCTATGGATACGTGGAAGTTAATAGAAGAAGGGAGGATGGTAAAACAAAAGACGAACTAGTGCAAAAATGGACAACAGAAGAAGCTGAGTTCATTGTATATTTTACTGAATAAAGAGGCAAGAAAGAGTGCTAGGAAAAACAATTCTGCAACATACCGGCAAAGGAAGCATAACAGACCGTAGACAATGAGACCTCAGAACATTATAGGAGATAACCAAGGTCTCCATCCTGAAAAGATCAACTTAGATGAAACCTAAAAAAGACGGTCAAGAGAACCTACTTATCAGAGAGAAGAGAAATAAAACAATGGGCTGATCATTTCAAAAGACTCTTGAACCGACCATCGCCTGTAACTCGTCCAGCAATGCCATCAACAGCTACAGAAGTGCCAATGAATACCGATCTTCCGACAAAAGTAAACGTCTTGGATACTATGAAGTTACGGGAAGGCGCCAGGACCAGACGGAATTCCTCCTAAATCACTGAAAACGGATCCTGAGGTTGCAGCGGGTATACTGGCGCCATTGTTGTTAAAGTTTGGAAGGAAGGAAAGGTATCTACTGATTGGAAGAAATGCCATCTTGTCAAATGACCAAAGAAGAGCGACTTAATCCTTTGCAGAAACTGACGTGGAATCCTTCACCTGTTCATGTCGCATCATCCTGGTGACGATAAAAGACACAGGACTCTGACCAGAACAGGTTGGATTCAGGAAGAGTAAACCATGTGCGGGTCAAATCTCAACACTAAGCATCATCACCGAACAAAGCTTAGAATGGCAGTCAAATATCTGCCTTAATTTCATCGACTTCAAAAAGGCTTTCTACAGTTTTAACTGTGAAGTAATCTGGAAACTACTTCAACACTATGGCGTGCCCCAAATATTAACATAAGATAGTCACTAAACTTAGAAGACGTTTCGATCAGTGAATGAAAAGTAAGATCAGGTGAAAATGATCTTTGATATTAATGTTGAGATACGAAGATAGGTAAGTGTCATATAGTAGGTTCATATTTAAAACTCCAAGAAACTTCAGTGTACACGTCAGTAAATTTGTAGATGGCATCATAGTATTTTGTCTAAATATTCCTATTATACTACATCGCCACGCCTATGAGTAATTTACAAGATCTGGACAAGGGCTTATAACATTTATCAAGCGAACATATTATATGCTTGAAGGTAATTTCATAGGAAAAGCCAAGCTTATTCACGACTACTTCTGTGGTGAGAGTTAGCTGCTAGCCAAATTGATAGACATTAATTTACGTCAATGTTTATGTCCCAAATATTGGTCGTGAGAAAAATAAGAACAGCGACTGTGTAGGCGGATACAGTTAGTATATAGATGATCTGACATTCAAGAAACAGCCACACAGAGATGAAAGATTAACTTTCTGTGAGAAACAATCAATCAGAAGACTGTTTTTCTGCTTACAGTAATCTGTAATAATGCACATGAAAATCTATAAATATGTGTTGATTTCCTTAATAAACGATCTGTTGCGTGACCCTTGTCTTCCGTTGTTACCTTTCTACTAATACTATAAAATATCACCGAATTTAAACCACAAAAAATAACTCACTCTACATCTGTATGATAATATATATATATATGCGAACAAAATGAAAGCTCGTGAGATGATTAATGAACGCAGGTAAAAGGACAAATTTCTATTAGGAACGAAAATCATGCTGTAAATTCAAAACAACAAATTACCAATAAGATAAACCACAAAATCGTTCTACACATGAGCTAAGTTTCATTTATCGGATTGCTGCTTCATATCGTATTAATCTATCGTTACTTAGTTTATTTACCGCTAAGATAGCTGAGTTAGAACCGACAGCGTACCCTGTATCAAAAGTATGTTCACTAATAGCACTACCAGGTAGTTTTCCATTTCCATATGGCACATGTTCGCGTCTGTGGTATAGCAGTTAGGACACTCGCCCACCATGCACATGGTCCGGGGTTTGATTCCCGGCCGACGCACTCCTTTACCTCGCTAAGCCAGAAATAATACTGGTAGAGAGGAAAGGTTGGGCATGAGGCTAGCAACCTCATCCTGTAAAGTAAACACTGCTACAAGAAACTTCAAGTCACTAGCTTGAGGCCCTATTTTGCACTAGAAACGTGAAGGAAAAAAATATATGGCACACGTTTCAGGGATTATATAAGTGAAGAGTGTGTCTGTTCTTCCTGTGTGCATCCTACTACTAGTGTGGGTACATGAATTAAATACTATTGAAGATAACATGAAGGGTCCCCACATCCACATTTGTTTCCCTCGGGTTGTTTTTTTTTGTGGTGACGATTACTACTAAATTTAATGGCAGGAGAAATTACTGGGATACATTTATTTCTTCGGCTTTTCTTTCCTATTTCAAATTCTGTATCACCGTAAACCCTTATGAATATCGCATTACAATTGTTTTGTCATGATTAAGTATACAGTATGAACTGTCATCGTAATAACTATATTTACTTTTATCTATACTGATTAATCAAATCCGTGCACTGTCATCCTGGTTCGCATATGTATATTATTGTATAGATGTGAAATGACTTATGTTAAATTCACCGTTGGACTGTACTAAATTATTAACATTTGACAACGATATCTTAAATTATCGGATCATACAAAAATTTTGAACTTAGTATATGTGCTTAAGATCCTCGGCGCATGAAATGAATTCACGCCACAGCTTTAATTGTTCTTGCTTCGGGAAGATTTATAAAGTAGGATTATAACTAAGAAGGTATAGTTTGACATTTTGGGTTGTAAGATAAAATTGGGTAAATTCAGGTTAAGTATATTGGCATAATCGATCTGATAAGCAGTCTACAACTGTCTGTATAAGATTGACAAAAGGAATACCGCTGCTCCAGTTGATCATCTTTGATAATGATGACCAACATGTGCCCAATTTCTTTCTAATTATTTACTAAGTAAATGTATATCAGGTTTTCTTTCGTTGTAAATGTTGAAGACCAATGCAACGTGAAAAAGAATATACGGAACGCCATATCTAGTCCTTTAGAGTGAAGTTGTAACAGGATTAGTGTAAAGCAATACTTTTTCACTTCACATATAAGATTTTTGACAGTAAATTGTGTGACAACGAAACAGTAGTGTGATAATACTAACATCTAGAATAAGGTGTACGGACAAATAAGAGGTTGCGAATATTTGTAATTTGATCGTTATGAAATTTTTTTATTTTTTGATTACAGCTTGATTCCATACCGTATTTTCCGTGCAAGTATGGAATTCTCAGTATGCAGTATCGGTGGCCCAAATTTTGCAGGCCGACCACTGATAACTGGTATGCGTTGGTAGGGGATCGAACCCCGGACCATGTGTATGGTCGTCGTGAATCCTAACCACTGTGCCACCGACGCAGTGAGCTACGAGTTATCTTGATGCGTGGTGATGACCTGAGTAAAATTAGTTTAAGAAAACTAAATAGTGGCCAATTGTAGACGTAATACAACTTAATGAGGGTAACAGCTATCAGTCTGAACCATGAAAATTTTGAGATATGAATATTTAAAAATATGATTTACTTTAAAGTCGATTAGTCAACGAAACCCTTCATTATCCTGTGTATCTTTTCGTCTACTATCAATGTTCTTAATGTTTAAATATTCTCTCCATTGTCTTGTTACGAAGTATAGAAACCTTTGTCAATTTCCAAGTTGATGCTTTACATCTAAGTTACTGTACATGTAGCTAACCTTATGCTTTGTGTGTTTTCATTAATCTGGAAGTAAACGATATTTTGCTTTTTTTGTCCAAACCATGTTCCGATTTAATGGTTTGAGAGACAATTCGGTATATGATATTCATTATTATAGGAAATTCGTTATTCCCCTATGAATAAAAACAAAACTATATTGCGAAATAATAGAGAAGATTTGTAGCCCAGATGAATGATTTGCAATGAATAGTGTTCTCTGAGCTGGTTGGTTTACTTACTTACTTTACTTTACTTCGGCTATCTCCTACGGGAGGATGAGCCGGCTTCATGAACATCTCGA